TAAGCCCAGAGTCCTCCTCGCAACTAAGCCCAGAGTCCTCCTCGCAACTAAGCCCAGAGTCCTCCTCGCAACTAAGCCCAGAGTCCTCCTCGCAACTAAGCCCAGAGTCCTCCTCGCAACTAAGCCCAGAGTCCTCCTCGCAACTAAGCCCAGAGTCCTCCTCGCAACTAAGCCCAGAGTCCTCCTCGCAACTAAGGCCAGAGTCCTCCGCGCAACTAAGCCCAGAGTCCGGCGCGCAACTAAGCCCAGAGTCCAATTCATATACTGTTCTGCATTGCTGTATAAATGTATTGCTGGGATTTGTAGTCCCCCTACAAGCGGTGCCATTCTGCATTAGAGTGTAAGCTCCTCTGCACAGGGAATGATGTGACTGGCTCAGTGTTCTCTGTACAGCATTGCGGTACATATCAGAGCGTCATAAATGATTAATAATAACAGTGTGACTGGCTCAGCGGTGCAAGGGTTGGCGGGGCCACGACCGGGTGGGGGGGGCCCGGCCTAAAACCATGTAAGGGGCCCCGAAATTTCTGAAGGCTGCCCTGCTCCTGCATAAAGCAAAGTCACCCTAACAGATACCACATAGGATTAGTAAGCTGCAATATATACATTCTTTTTTGGGGTGATTAGATATGCTTTAAGTACACTTTTATTACAAATAAAAGCATTTTTTTCCCTTTATTAGTACCTTTGTTCTATGTTGTTGCCATCAGGAGCAGACTGACCATTCGGGCACTGCCTGAGGGGCCGTGGCCAGAAAGAGGCATGTGGTCTCCCCCCCCAGCACTGGCAGAACTTCCAGGGTCATAGTGACACCTGCAGCAGCAGACTTGGAGGAGGGGAGCAGGAGCTGGCACCAGAGGGGGGGGGGGGGTTAAGGGTTGGGGCACAGGGAGTTTGTGAACGCTTCCCCACCCAAGGTGAACCCCTGGATTCAGAGCAGCAGGGTGAATAGACAACTCTTGGCATGTGAGTGAAGCACCAGGAGGAGCCTTATCTGCTGCACAAGCAGGGGGATGAGCTGGTCAGCTGGAATGGTGGGCTGCTCCTACCTGCAAACTAACTTCATGTTCTGTCAGCTTCTAGGTTGGCTGAGTGCACTCCAGGTGAACAGCCTAAATGCTGGTTTTTCTTACATCGCCAAACCCCTGCGCCTGCACTGGCTTAGGAGTGCTGTTATTGCCAGTATTAATTTTGTCTTTATATAATGTTCCAGGTGCCCAGTGTTGTATAGAAATATTGTAATAAAACAGTGCTGCATTACTGTGTTCTTTACTACTGAATTCTGCATTCTTTAACACTGAGCTCTGCGTTCTGTACTACTGAGCTCTGCATTCTTTACTACGGAATTGTGTGTTCTTTACTACTGAGCTCTGTGTTCTTTACTTCTGAACTGTGCATTCTTTACTACTGAACTGTGCGTTCTGTACTACTGAGCTGTGCGTTCTTTACTACTGTGCGTTCTTTACTACTGAACTGTGCGTTCTTTACTACGAAACTGTGCGCTCTTTACTACAGAGCTCTGTGTTCTTTACTACTGGACTGTGCATTCTGTACTATTGAGCTGTGCGTTCTTTACTACTGCGCGTTCTTTACCACTGAGCTGTGCGTTCTTTATTACTGAACTGTGCGTTCTTTACTACAGAACTGTGCGTTCTTTGCTACTGAACCGTTTGTTCCTAACTACTGAGCTCTGGTTCAGCTTTTTTGACATATTTTGACATAGATTAATTCAGTCCCCATGTCAATTCTCCTACTAATTCTGCTGCAATCCACCCAGGATAATTGGCAGAATGGAAGAATCTAGGTCAAAATAGTCAAACCAGAAAAATTCTGCCATTTAGCTCACTTTCCAAATTGTCTATATTGGTTTGGAAATAATTTCTGTAACACAAGAATATATATGCAGGTTGGGCTTGTTGGTGGGTAGAGCTTGTATATGGGAGGGGCACAAGGAGGCCCCATAATCTCATATTGCTCGGGGGTCCCATGTGCTGTCAGTCCACCGCTGGATGCTATGTATAATCCACACTGATATCACTGCAGACATGTGCAAGTTCTATTTAGTATACTTTATTGTGTATTATGTTTTGTCAATTTATTAATTGGATCCCATGGTTATGGGATTCCTTTTGAGTGAAATATTTTAGAGTTTAATCAAAAGGTGATTTCCTTTCTTTTCAAACCAAACTCCAGCTCAATGTGTTCTTTGATTTTCTTTGATTAACTATTCTTACAAGAAATTGTAATCAGGGATTGAAGACGTACATTTTTTTCTCACACCACTTTTAACAGATTTTGTGTGCAACACTGCTAGGCAGACTGCCAGCAATGCTATGCCTAGAAGTGTTAGCTTAAGTTAAAAAAAAGTAATAGCACACAGAGTATAGTAATATTTCTAGATGGCAAGTCAGACATAGTAAAGTGCAGATTACAACCGCTTTGGACAGTAACCAAATGAAGCTTCAAGCTACCCTCCCCTCTCCAGTCATCTCTTAACCCTTAAGGTCTACAGAAAGAATGTTATTCCCAATGTTTGCTTTTGTGTAGTAGGTGCTGCTCTGCATTCTTTAAACAATGAAACATATATAAACTCTGTATCAACATCTGTGTAATTTAATGTATGATCTTACAAACATTCCCTTGTGCTTGACAAGCACATCTGTTATCTAGATTGTAGGAAAAGACAGGAATTAATTTACCATCTTCTAACATCTGTTCTACACTAAGGTCCACATCTGGGTTACACAAAAACAGGAATCTTAGATTTAAATTGCCGACAGCCAGCAGAGGAACCCCAGATAGGCGTTCAGGAAATGGAACATCCAGGAAATAATTTGTGCACTAATAATGCTTTATTCAACACCAGAGCAATGCAATTACAAGATCGGCTGCCAATCTTCATGAAGAAAAGGGAGTGTGTATGGCGCTTGGCATCTTTTTTCACATAAATATGTTTATATTCTGAACTGTTGTAATCCTGCTGGCTTTCTTCACAAAACCAACAGAGGAAAAGGCAGGTTGCTTGTTGTTTGGTGTAACAATAAACTTTTGGGTGAAAAGTATTCGACTAAAGCTACTAGTTTTACAATGCTTGCTTGTTTATACATACACTATGTAACAATAATAAGTGTGTTCAGATTTGTCTCATTGCTTTAGAAAGTCATATGCTTTTTTGATCACAATACTTTACATCTCCCATTTAAAGTATATATAAACCAAATCACTAACATTTTAAATAATCTTTAAAAAGGGAAAGTTCACTTTCCCCAGTGAATTTGGCAAAGTGCAATTACCCACTCAAATCTGGCCCCTTCTCCCCCCACTATACTTCGCATGAATTGCTTCTCATTGGTCGGCGCAGTCAGAAGCGCTTATTGGTCAGCGTGGTTAGCTGACCATGATGACCAATGAGTGCTCGCAATTTGCAAAAGTGAAATTCAAGGGCAGGGCTTATGGATCACTGTGGAGTACAGATAATACACCTGTACCGGCGGAGGGGAAAAAGTGTGGGAAAGTGAGCGTACCCTTTAAAATGTTAAAGCTGAAGTTTAGTCATTTGTTGGGGGATATAGCACCTAACACATTATTTACTTGTAATGGTGTGTATCCCATCTCCTGCTGGCTACTGCTCCCCAAAAAAATCTTTTTTTCATGCCGCCTTCATAGTGGCTGCATATTGCTCTTATTGGCTATCCTCCAATGCTGTATACGTTATCAATAGCTGCTGCTAGCATGAAGAGCTAGCCCATCCATTCATGCCTTGTCTTCCATTCAGAGAACTCCTACTACTTTTCTCCCATAATGCATCGCAATAACAGTGGCTGCTGTTGACCCATACAGCACTGGAAGATAGCCGGTGCTCTCTTTCGGTCAGCAAAAATAGTCAAAAGTATGCATAAAAGGGGATTTTGTGAATAAAGTCACTCCTGCTGAGTAACTCCTAAGATGTGACTGGGAAATGTAAATTTCCCAGCACGCTCACCAGCCAGCCTGCACGAAAATGACACTGTCTAACTACTAGGGTTAAAACCGGGGGGTTTTAGTTCTACAACTTTTGCAAAATATGTGGAAGCCACACTGCCTCATCAAGGCAGTGTAGTATGGTCCTAACTCTAATCTATGAGAGCCTCCATGTGAGCATTTTTTTGCAGGCTGGCTGGTGAGTGTGCTGGGACATTTTTGTACTTTGTAAAGCCCTTCCATGTGCACCCTGCGTAAAGCTAGTTATGAATGGATGAGTGCATTTGCCATTTGTTTCACTTGTTGGATTTGGTGAGGGGACACACTGGGGGCTTCAGCTGCCATTGTGATTTGCTGGGCTTCTGGTGTGTTCTTGTGCCTTTTAAGGTTGGGCTACCTCCTGACAAACCTGCACCCAATTCATCCTTTGCTATGTATGCTCCAAGATAGAGGCTCTCATAGATTGGCGTTAGGACCACACTACACAGAGGGGTCTTAACAAGGTTTTTTTTAACCCTAGTAGTTAGACAGTGTAAGGCTGGCTGGTGAGTGTGCTGAGAAATTTTTGTTTTTGTACTTTGTAAAGCCCTTCCATGTGCACCTTGCTTAAAGCTAGTTATGAATTGATATGTGTATTGTCCATTTGTTTCACTCCTAAGATGCTGTCACACGCATGTTTGCAATGTGCTGTTTATCAGTACATCCTCTATATATATATGCTATATGTGTGTACATCATTTTGCAAATGTCTACTGAAAACTATTAAAAGCTTGAATCTACATATATTTTCTGCGGGTAACTGCAGTTGCAGTGTGCACAAAGTAATTATTAAAAGCTAGGTCCCTTTCAATCCATGAAAATAATGAGCGGGGTGCAATTGATCCTTAAAGTACTATGTTGCCCAAAGCCAAAATCACTACAAAATATTTCTTACTATGCAAGGAATACAACTAGAAAATAGGAAAATGCTGCAGACTAGGAAATATAACAGAATATACCTATACAATTGTAAAATGATCAAACATGACAATATTGCTTACCTTGAATGGGGGGCTGGAATCACTTGGCCTTGCAGAAAAATCAAAGGAGATGATCAGATCCACTCCACGCTGTGGTCTTAGGATAAGAGGATGTGGTAAATTGAATGTCAAACCACTATCTACAATATGTATCTTCTTACTTTTTACATCCAGTGGCTCATATATCTGTTCAAACTCATCAGGGTCTGTAATTATATTTAAAATATAGTCAACACCTCTATACACACCTGGTACATGCACATTTACATTTCATCTACTTTGATCTTAGGATCATCCCTATCATGTATGTATATTTGGTCTGTATATCTATAGCTAAAGCCCCACAACCTTTCCTTACCAAACAAAAAGGTAGATGCATATACCTGTGTACGGAATATTAACAGTTATCCAGTAACAGCAGAAGCAATTAAAATGTACACAGTACTCTGCTCTCGGTTATGTTAACTGAAAAGCATTTTCACACAAAAAGTATTCAATACATTTATAGAATGTAACACAATTAAAGTGTTTCTATATTCAAAACTTTTGTTTAAAGTGACACTCAGATATTTCCTCACTTTCTGTCTGGTAAAACGTTGTCCCCAGAACAGAAAGTGAGGGCTGAAATCTCTGACGGAGCACAGGACAGCAGCAAAACCTGATACAGGTTTTAACCTTTCCTCATTCTATCCAAAACGTAAATTGACACTAAACTCAGGAGTTAAATCTTAAAAATGCATTCAAGTACCTTAACTATTAACAAAAATGTATCTTTGTGCATCACTCAGTTGTAGATCCCCAAATCTTCTCTGAATTGTTACTGACACAGCCCTTTCTCCTGGAGGGTGGCTACTCTTGTTCTCCATGGTTCCCGTGTGTGTTGTAAAGTAACCACCGCTCCAATCTCGCTCTCGTGATAGACTACATCCTCAATACAAATTAGTAAACTAAACGTGAGATTGTAGTCCATCACAGGAGTGAGCTTGGAGCAGTGGTTACTTTACAACACACATAGGGACTATGGGGAACAAAAGTAGCCACCCTCCAGAAGGAGGGACAGTATCAGCATGAATTCAGAGATGATTTGAGATCTACAGCCTAATGATACATAATATACATTTTTGTTAATAGTTAGGGTACTTAAATGCATTTTTAAGATTTAACTCCTGAGTTTAGTGTCACTTTAAGTTTTGGATAGAATGAGGAAAGGTGAGCACCCGTGTCAGGTTTTACTGCTGTCCTGGGCTTCGTCAGAGATTTCCCCCTCACTTTCTGTTCTGGTGACAACGTTTTACCAGACAGAAAGCGAGGGAATATCTGCAACAGGGAAAAAGACAACAATAAAAAGCTGACAGTTTTTAGCATCCCCCTACTTATCAAAAAAACATTTTCACTTCTCTCTGTGCTGCTTCTAGAGAGAAATGTCCGCTCACTTTTTGTCCAGGGGACAACCTTTTATCATACAAGAAATTAAGGAATCTCTTCAATTGAGTCTTTGATGACAGTAAACCTGACAGAAGCTCTAACTCTTCCCCACTCTATTCAAAACTAAAAAAAAATGACCATGGATAGGAACTGAACATTAAAATAAAATCACACGTTTTTATTTTAAAGGAGAACTATGAGGTGAGTGCTTTTCACTCACCTCATAGTTCTAGCCGACCTGTGACAATGAGACTGTCACAGGTCGGCTTAGTAGATCGGGAGGTGAGCGAACACATACCGGCGTTCGCTCACCTCTCGATCCTGTCACGGCTCTCTGCCGTGACAGGGAAGGGGCTGGATTCCCCCCTCCGATCTGCCAGCGCTGACTAGCGGAATGGACGGGGGAGGGTACAGCTGGCTCTGCCTCTACATAGGCAGAGCCAGCTGTCAGTCACGCAGCTGGGCGGATCCAGACTTCAGCTGCGGCGTCTCAGTATACCGCGAGCTGCAGCTCGCAGTATACTGAGCCTAGGGTGTAGGGAGGACGCTAGTTTGTGTCCTCCCATTACCCTAAGGAGAACTATGGGGAAAAGCCTTAACCCCATAGTTCTCCTTTAATGGTGGAAGCTAAAGTGCACAGAATTACCACGCTACAGTAGAAGACTCACCTGCAACTGCTGGATCCATCAAATCCTCATCTACAGACTCCTGGGAACAAAGCTGTGTTAAAGGAGACAATGGATACGACACATTAAGGTTTAAACCAAGCATGAAGTTATGCACTTTTCCAGCTCTTCCTTCACGTGTGTTGAAAAGGGCAGTATCACTTATTATAGCCATGAACATGCGCTGAACCCAGCTGGCTTGATTGTTTTTTTGATATTCCTCTTCAGCTGCAAGATTTTCACTTCCTATGAAATATTGAAAAAGAGGAGTAGACAAAAAATATATATGTTACTTCCATACCTATAACAAAAAGGCATGTAACTGCAGTTACAGTTATATTGTAGCTTCCTCGGCCTTCAGCCTCCCTGACAGCCTTATGCTCACCCATCCAGATCTAGGGATAAATTACCAATGAGGCTGCACAACCGATTTCAGAATCCTCATGCATGTGTGCTGTTTACTCTCCATTCAATCTTATTAAGAGTTTGCATTTCTAGGTGACTAAGGGACATGTGAATATAAGACTGACCAGAGGAACTGGGGTCAGGAAGCTACAATATAATATTACTCTTTAATACACAAAAGTCAGTTTAGAAAGCTAAAACAGTGGCACTTCTGGCACTTTGCCAAGAAGATCAGGCAGATACAGGTCAGGAGGTTCAGTTAATGTTTACATCAAACACTAGAATGGATAAAAATGTGATCTCAGTAAACTGACTGTAACTTGATTGTGGGTGCCAGATAGACCGGTTTGATTATTTCTCTAATTGCTGATCTGAATTGCTGAATTGTCACGCACAACAGTTTCTAGAGTTTACTTGGAATGGTGGGAAAAACAAAAAAACAAGAGAGTGGCAGTTCTGTGGACAGAAACAACTTGTTAATGAGAGAGGTCAGAGTAGAATAATCAAACTAGTTTGATCTGACAGCCAGGCTACAGTAACTTAAATAACCACTTTTTACAGCAGAAAAGCATCACAGAATGCAAAATACATTGAACCTTGAGGCGGAAGGACTACAATTATGTGATATATATGTCATATATACACTGAGTGGCCAGATTATTATGACCACCTGACGTTTGTAGGCAAATTAGCTATAATTTGGCGCTGAAGTTGCTAGAGGGCCAGACCATTATAAATAGGGAAGCAGGTTGTTTACCACGACAGTAGAAGTGATTGTTTTCTGAAGATATGGGTAAACAATGCGATTTAACAGCCTTTGAACGTGGGATGATTGTTGGTGCTCGGAGCCATGGAGCGAGTATCAGCAAAACAGCAGAATTTGTTAAATGTTCAAGAGCAGCTGTTGTTAAAGTGTTTAAAGACCTGACTGTCAGCCGAGAATCTGGGTCTGAACGAGCAAATTGTGGCCGTCAGCGACTAGTCAATGTTAGGGCAGAACAGAGAGTGGCAAGACTGGTACAAGACATCAGAAGGGAACAAGTGCAGTGTCAGTTCCTCGTGAGTACACCCCTCACATTTTTGTAAATATTTTATTATATAATTTCATAGGACGACACAGAAGGAATAACACTTTGCTACAAAGTAGTGAGTGTACAGCTTGCATATCAGTGTACATTTGCTGTCCCCTCAAAATAACTCAACACACAGCCATTATGTCTAAACCGCTGGCAACAAAAGTGAGTACACCCCTAGGTGAAAATGTCCAAATTGGGCCCAAAGTGTCAATATTTTGTGTGGCCACCATTATTTTCCAGCACTGCCTTAACCCTCTTGGGCATGGAGTTCACCAGAGCTTCACAGGTTGCCACTGGAGTCCTCTTCCACTCCTCCATGACGACATCACGGAGCTGGTGGAGGTTAGAGACCTTGCGCTCCTCCACAAAAGCGCTTAAAGCATCGCCTATGGGAAGTTTTTGATGTGTTTGTTTTTTGCGATTTTGCAGGCGCGCACATTTTTAAGGCTTGACATGTGTGGTGTCTATTTACCCAACGTGCCCCCATCTTTTATGTTTTACCAAAAGTATGGGTAAGAATAAATGTTTTTTAACATAACGTAGGGAAAACATTTTTTTTTTCCACGAAATTTACTAGACTTTTTTCATTATATTGTAAAAAATAAACCCCTCCACTGGTGATTACATACCTCCAAAAGAAAGCTCTACGTGTCCCCAAAAAATGTTAACATAAATTGCAAGGCTATAGTCCGGTCATGCTGACTGGTGAAATCTTTGACTGACTGGTGAGACACCCTAAAATTTCTCAAGCCTTGCATATATGACAATGAATCATTCAATAAAGGATGCAATTATTTATTTAATTTGGAAGCTTCCTTCCCATCATACTGAACTGCAAGCAACAGCTGCCTTGGTGTTTAAAAGCAGAAAGTGGGAGAATTCTGGAGAATGTTGGGAAAGTGTGAGTGTTATCAGATTGGGGTGTGTGGGCTTGTTCAATCACATCAAACTGATTATGTACACGTCTCTTTTGATTTCACATATACGAAATTAATAAGGGGCATGAAGGGCACCATCTATGCGGAAATAATTACTCATGACCTTGCATAAATGTTCTTAAATGCAGAGTAGTAGTTCAATTTAAGGTCACCACAAAAGAACAGGAACGCCGCTTTACTATAAGAACTGTGTAAAAGCAGAATAGTCTTCCATGGCCACTAGTTCTCACTATACAATCCCTGAATTTCATAAATGATTATATGTGTGAGCAATTTTAGACCTTATATACAAAAGGCGACGATATCTGTCAAGATGTTGCATACCACCAACAACCCGACATGCTTTGCTGTTTCGGGTACACTTAAGGGAACAAAAAATTTAGTGGTCAGTGCCATACGGTGAATAAAAAAATGGAAATAGGAAAACAATGGAGAAAGAGAGATTAGAAAGGTAGTGAAGTAGAAGGTAGAAAGGGAGAAAATAGGACTTACACCACATGGAAACCACTATAGGAACTATGGTATTGGTGGTCTGCAAATAGATGATAAAAACAACAAGTTGCAAAAATAAAAGATACAAATTTAAATTCTTCATTAGGTACATAAAAGAAAGTGAAATTTCTTGAACTGGGTAAAATGTTTACATATTGTTGCCTTTTGTATATAAGATACACTGCTAATAGTTATAGCATACTTCATAGATTCTTTCCGAAAAGGGCTGGATGTATTTTAACCACTTGAAGACCCCCTTGTTTACATCCCCTTCCTGGCCGCGCCATTTTTCAGTATTCAGCGCTGCTGTACTTTAACTGACATTTATTCACGCAACGCTGTACTGAAATCAATTTTATGTCATTTTTTGGGGGACATATAGAGCTTTCTTTTGGTGTTATAATAATCACCACTGGGGTTTTTATTTTTTACTATATAATGAAAAAAGTACTGTAAATTTCGAAAAAAAAATGCTTGCCCTACGTTATGTTAAAAAACATTTATTCTTACCCATATTTTTGGTAAAACATAAAAAAGACGGGGTCCCGTCGGGTAAATAGACACCAAACATGTCAAGCTTTAAAATTGCGTGCGCCTGCGAAATCACAATAAAATACTATACTCAAAATTAGCCCTAGGCGAAGCTTTAAATGCTTTTACTGCTCATCTTTTTGGTGTTTTTAGTGAATAATGGCCCTAAATGTATTGCCCTCACTCTGACGTTCACAGTGATATGCAACATGTGCGGCCTAATGGGCGCAATCGTCGTTTTTGCACGTAGGCACTCCCAACACATGTTTGTGGGGCTGGGACTTTAAAATAAATTTTGTGTTTTTTAAAATTCTTTTTTATGTGTGACTTACATTTTTTTTTGGGGGGGGACTTTAATTTTTTTAAACTTCTTTTCCCCACTAAGAAGCCCCCAATGTGATAGAAAAGAAGATGTGACAGATCCTCTTTATGGAGACATCAGGGGTCTTTAAGACCCCTAATGTCACCTAGGGACCCCCCAAAGAAGCTGATGAAGCAGAGATCTGCTTCATCAGCTTCTCTGGAGGTTCTGCAACCGGAGAGTGACAGCAGAATGCGGAAGTGATGTAAGATACATCACTTCCACATTCTGAAACCAGAGAGGAGCTCAGAGGGAGATGGTGTACTGATCTCCTATCAGAAAGCTGCCAGGCACAGCGAAGCTCGGGACCAGCGCTGTGGTGGGTGGGGTGGGGTGGAGCGCACCGATGAGCACCTAATACAAGCCATTCGTCCGCTTTATAGCCGACGGATTGCTTGTATCTAAATAGGCACCACTGCCTGTTTTTAAATTTTAACAGTTTCCAGCTCGGCGTGCGAGAGTGGGCGGAGCTAACAGGCTATCTTTAGACGCAGATCTCCATAAAGAGGACTTATGTGAATTGGCTATCACGTAGGGGGTTTCTTAGTCCCCTATGTGATGGCAATAAAGTGTAAAAAAAGGTTTAAAAAAAATTAAATATAAAAAATATTGCTGCTAACACTAAACTGATGAGCGGTAAAAGCTTTTAAAGTGTCGCCTATGGCCAATTTTGGGTGTGGTAGTTTTCTGCAATTTCGCGGGCGTGCGCAGTTTTAAAGCTTGACATGTTTTGTGTCTATTTACCTGACGTGACCCTGTCTTTTATATTTTACAAAAAAATTGGGGTAATAATAAATGTTTCATAACATTTCATATTGAAACAGTATTATTTTACAAAATTTAGGGTACTTTTTTGTTATATAGTAAACAATAAAAAACCCAGTAGTGATTAAAAACCACCAAAAGAAAGCTCTATCTGTCCCCCAAAAAATGGTATGAAATTAATTTCAGTACAGCGTTGCATGATGGAATAAACGTCAGTCAAAGTATCGCAGCGCTGAATACTGAAAAATGGACTGGCCAGGAAGGGGGTTTAACACCCTGGTCTTCAAGTGGTTAATGCAAATACTGCCCAGTTGAGAAATTATGTGAAATGTCGGAAAATATGTACTGTTAGATTATATCGCAAGAACACTTTCAAAAATGCATAGCAGAAAAATACTTTGGTTAGCATGACGTTTGGGTTTTGCGCCAAGGTCAAGTAAAACACATGATTGACTCAGACAGTTGTGTCATTTTTCAACCAAACATTTTTAACTATGCGTAGTAAGGTAGCAGTGATATCATTGAAGAATACAGAGAATATAGCAAAACAGATCAAATGTAAAGCACACTGTTGTAACTCAGTAAGGTAACCTTTTTAAATAATGACAATCTATTCAAGAAAGTTCAAATGTTTACCTTTGGGTTCTTGCTGTTCATCATCACTGTCTGAATTGTCCAAGGTCACGATGTGCTTTGGTTTAATGTTTTCTAAAAACAAAGCAAAGAAATGCATTTTATTTTCAGTATATTACTAAAAGTAAAATCACGCAGATTGACCATTTCTGAAGTATCCATAACTTTTACAACTGTAGTTCATGTATGAATATTACTGCATGGTTTTATCGTCCATTGCATTAGTGCAGAAACAAAGGCATAGCATGCTATGTTACAGTAATCAGGCCGGTGGAGCAAAGAAGGGAGTAGGGACATGGCTGCCAGCTTTTGGTGCTACAAGAAAGAAGGAAGATTACAAATTAGATCAATATCTTACAGTATATTAGGTGTGTTTATTCATGATGTTGTGTAGTTGAGCCCACACAAATGTTGTTATCTTAACAAGCATTAAAAGAGTTTTAACACAAGTACTCACTCACCTTTCTAGCTGCTCTAAAGTTCGTTTTAGATGGCTACATATTTGAATTAAAGGGCTATCAGGCAGCTAGGATGTGTTCTTATAGAAAGCTTGGCCTATCCTATAAACTTTGAAAATTAATTGATCAAAGATGCTTATAGATATATAGGTGAAAGAGGGCTTGTTGTAAAGTGCTTTCACTGCTTGTTCAGAGTATATAAGCATGTGTGCATGATCTGGTCAAAGGTTCAGTTTGATCAAAATATACATATTTAAAATGGAAGGGGAGGATGCTGATTTACAACTAATGATGCAAAATTTTAGTAGAGTCTCTCACTAGTTAATTGTAGTTCCCTTTTACACAAGGCCATTACTGCAATGCATGGTAATGTATGTTGTGGAAAATGCAGAAAGCATTAATCTTTTCATGCTTGATTGAATGCGTTCTGAATGGGCTGAGTAAAGCAATGCACATCAAAGAAAAATGCATGCATGCAGCCTACTGCATTGTAGTGTGAATGGGCCTGTAATCCCAGACACTTTTGACTGGTATCCTATATCCTTTTAATCATTTTAGACCTGTTAGCAAAATGATGCAACAAATTGGGCTTAAATGCTACTTTAGGTAGTGAAGTCATTAGATTATGGTGTACACATGGCACCTTTCCATCCTTCCCAGCCTCTCTGCTTTGTAAAAGCTATCTAACCTTAATGGATTGGCTAAGTGAAATTGTTCAGCATGAAGTAGTACCCTCTGTACTGCAGCACTGCTGACTTCTAATTTGTGATTGATACAAATGTGATTTTCGTTACTGGTGTAGTCTACTGTATTTGGATGGCATCTTATATATTTTGGGGACTTAAGCAATGAGATTTATATATTAGTCTTACTAACCATTAACCTGATTTAAGCAGACTCAACTTGAAACTAGCTTCTTGATGTCATAGAATCATCAAGAAGGGGTATGATTTTGTTAGTCTATTCCTCCCTTGTATCTTCTAAACAATCAAGCACCAAGACTTATCAACACCATTGGGAAAGGGAGCGAAATTCTGAGGATTGGTAAGAGATCTGGCTGGCCACCGCAAAGAGTGTAACAAATATCCTGATTCTAGAAAACTCTTACAAGGTTTTATATTGATGGTACTATACCCCTGCATGGTTAGCATGCTTTATTCCCACATGACCAGTAGCAAATAGACTCTGGGTACATATTTACAACCTTATACGGACCTTACTTCATACCAATCGTCCTAACAACCCACTTGAAGCATTGCTCAATTAATCTATCCCCACCCTCTTTCACACTGAAGGAACACATTTAATTTTGAAACAAGCGCACAACTGGTGATAGGTCCTAGGTGGGAAAACAGGGGCTGAACAAGTATGGTGTGCAAGCTCCTAGTTTCAGGGAGAGGAACCCTGCAATTCAGTACATATACAAACAACGAGTGTAAGGAGCGCTACTGCCTAGAGTGTAATTGAGTGATATCTGATAGTAAGTAAAGAACAATTGGTGTGACTTACAGTCATGAGGCTGCTGGTGTGCCAAAGATGGAAAGACAATGACAGCAGCCTGGAGGGAGTCCGGGGAGGGATGATTTCCAGGATTCGGTAGTATCGAGTGTAAAAGTAATGTGAAGAACCCTGTCAGCACGCGTGCACGGCTGGCCAGGCCGGGCCACGGCGGCTTGGGAAGGGAAAGCCGTGAACAGCTGTGAGCAACTGTATTCAGTGCGTACAGGATAGTGACACGCTACCAGGATGAGTCTTGGGTAGGGGAAGAAGTCTGGAGGGGTGGGCAACGATCTGAATAATAGGGCTCTCAGTTTGGTGGCGGCGTTTCGAGGCACAGCCTCTTTCTCAAGCCTTAGAGTGGTGTTGGAAGATTCTAATTGACTTCAAGACTTTGCCTTTTTGTTAGATATCACTGATAAACTTAATCATTTAAATTTATAAATGAAAGACAAAAATAAAGATTTTTTGGACATGATTTCTAAAGTAAAATCATTTTCAGATAAACTTTTCAAACATAAATGGAAAAATTTTAATAAGTTGTAGGTGTATCTGTTTCAATATAAAAGGAATTTCATGAAGATTAATCTCCTGTTCAGACTGGATTTATTCCTCTGAAAAATTACTCAGCGTTGCTGATTCAAGAAATGTCTGGCCTGTGCATTCAAAGGAAAAGTATCCCCATTTAATTTAAGTTGCTCAGCAAGTGAAGGCCTTTTTTGTGTCCACATACCTTTTGTGAGTCTACATTTTTAAATACGAACTCTTCCAAGAACAAATTCACAAGCAGACCGATTGATGACAATCTGGACTTGTGCATTAGTTTTGGGGTGATCAATTACTCTCTTATGAAAAAATTGTGAATTACAATAAATGCCAAGTTTCTCACTGAACATTAACATTATACGTTTTATATTTTCACAGGGACATTTGTATTATTATATTTTTCTATGTTTTCTTCAAACCTTCTTTACTATTTAATTGGGCTTTGCTAGGTTTTCTCCTTTAAAAAAAAGGAGCACTGCACCCTGTTCAGGTAGATAACCTCCTTTCCAAGGTTGCCTACCTCTGGTCTTAAGGATAGGGTTACACCCTTTACTGTTAAGGCCCACTCTACTGTCAGGTAGCAGCCTATCAGGCTACTGTTTCCCAGATCTGCAAGGCTGCTACCTGGTTTTCTGTTTACACATTTTCCAAGTTCTACCAGGTGAATATTCAGGACCCATCTGATGCCAGCTCTTTGAGCTGCAGGCAGTCCCCACTTTTTTGTTTTGGTGGGCTTGTTAGCATTTCTTTGCTGTTGTCAGCCCCTCAGCTGGACTGATTTTGGACGGTCATGCTTGGGGGTACCATACTCATTGGAAATGGAGGCTCTGGGGTTTCTGTGATTACCAGGCACTGAGATGAGACAGGGTGACAGGAGAGGCCCTGGAAAAAGGAAGGGTGGGGATCAAGATGTTTTGATCCTGCCCAGGTTACAGCTCTCTAACACACCAATGCAGACACAGCTGACTGAATGGAGCAGGCTCACTAGGAGAAGGCATTCATTAGCATTCTTGTTGGAACTCAAAGAGAGTGCATAGGTGCAGTGATGCAGGCAGCTCAGACAAGCACACTGATGAAAGATGCAACCGAGGCATAGTGGTAGTAGGAGAGATTATCCTGGGCTGGCCCACAATTTTTTTGTTTGCCAGTGTACAATTCTCCTGTAGGCAGCAGTATAACCTGAAGGTCAAGTCTTCTTGTGTCTTTCAATTGGCTTCAAGAAAAGGATTTTACAATGAGTACAAAAACCGTATTTTGTTACCGTTGGTACTGTGAATCATCCAATGCCTGAAAGAGGCTGACACACATAGCAAGTTAAGTCTACCTATTAAATCACACTTTTGACATTTTTGCTGTGTGATTCTTCCATGTCAGTAATATACTTTCTTACAAAGTGCACCACGGACCTGAGAATGTAAGGCTGGGTAGGAAAGCGCTAGATGATGCTAAATGTCCTCCAGCCAGAAAATGAAGCAGGCTTTTTTCTGACTTGCTACAGCTGCTAACACACTCAAAGAAGCTCATAGTGTGCACTGAAATCAGACTGAGCATTTTTAGTGCAGGAGAGGTGCCTGTACAACTGTGCAAGTTAATGCTGGAGTTCAGCTTTCATTTAGCAACAGGCTTACTTTAACAAGCACATTATGTGTTAGTAAAATTGATCTATTCTGAATTAAAAGGCTAACAATTATGACTACAAAATGAAGACTTTTTGCTCTGACAGCACATTTTAGTAAAAAAACCTTTACAAATACATTAATTATTGAAATATTACAATATAACAAAGCCAGTATATTCTCAAAAGTCAATACAAAAGTAGTATTTATTACATAATATTCAATTGTGTCACCATAAGCATTCTCACATTCACCATTGCTGAACAAATAACCTATTACATGGAAATAATGCGTCTCAGAGAAAACATGAATTATACAGAAGGGACTGTTTTCTTTTGTGCAAGTCATAGTGTAAAAGCACATCAGAGCATAGATCAGAGTGTAGATAGAGCATTTCAATAGGAAAAGGAAATGCTATTGTTGACACTAAAAAATGTTGGTGACTAAAACATTAAAGCAATTATATTTCTTTGCAATACCTACAATAATACAGTTTTCAACCCCTACATTCAACATGTTTTCCTTACTAAAATAAAAGATGCAATAGTGGAGCTTATTACTAAAAATCAATCTGAAGATTTGGTGGTCTAACTTTAATCGAGTCACAATAAGAGAGAATAAGACATTATTTGCTTTTATCTAGCCGTTTAGATAACCCTTGTGTGTAAACTGGAAGTGCTAGTGACTGCATGCATAGATTTTTTCCACTACGTCTAGACCAATATATATATATATATATACACTGAATATATATATATATATTTCTCTTTACATCAATGTTCAATCATTAAAAATGTTATAACAAAATATTAGTGTATAACAATTACCCAATTCCTCTTCCATTGTGACTCCTGCGTTATGACTGGAAACTCCAAGAACTCTGTTGAAGAGTATTGAAAATGCACTACCCCAGACACCTGAAAAAAAGCAAATATTTTTAAAGACCATCTGTTTCATTCATCTACTTCAATTTAAAGGGATTGAATTGGCTTTGTAAATATTTTCATTATTTATTATGATTAGGACCAAAAACAAATCTGTATAAAATGTGTATTTTTTCAGTCAGGTAAATACAATATACTGTATATTAATAGTTTGTGATCATATTTTAGCTAGCAGGTAGAAGTCAAATCTTTCCTTATAATTTGGCTCTGTCCAAGGCTTTTAGTCTGACAAAGTGACTCTCGAGTCTGTGTTTTGGTGTATACATAAGCCAGTGAAGTAAAATATTCTTTAGACTTGATAGTTTAGATTATTTTTTTTCTGTGCTGCTCATCTCTTTTTAATTGTTTTTTTTGTTTTCTGATCTTTTATATTTAATAATGCTGAGAGAAAAATCAAATGTAAGTAATTTTAAGGGTACTGTAAGGAGTAGAGATGTGGAAGCACTAGTTTGTACAGGGCATGTAATATCAGTGATCTTTAGCTGTCTCGTGTAATCTGTCTCCAGTCTATGACTGTCTCCTGCAGCATGTCTCCAGTAGGGATGGGCTGCATGTTCGAGTCGCACATAGGTTCAACTCGAACATAGCCTGTTCTAGCAGTCTCCAACAAATCCTTTAGCAAGCTCGCAGTCTCTAAAAATCTCCTGTTGCATGTATACAGTTCCTCATATCTTTCTGTAGCATTACATTCAGTAAATATTACTGTATGTGTGGCTTTTTGGTGATGTTAGGGTCTGCAGTTGAGGCCCCTTATATCAAGAAAGATGAACACCACTGAGATAACCCATAGTGCTTTGTTTTTACAAAACAAAGGTTGTATAAATATAGTAAACTGACATAAAACATCAGTCTAAAAATTTAAAACAATTGAGGCACAAAGCAATTATTGTTTACCTTTAACGTTATAATGGATTCAGTATCAGACAAAACTTATGTTAGGATCTATGAATTAATGGGGAGAGGGGGTTATTTTCTTTTTTTGATATGTTAATTGATTTTATGTTTTAAAAAATGTTCACACTTTTATGCTTTCATAATGAGGTTAGATCCAAGCCTGGGGTGTATACTGTTGTCTCGTACATCAGACTGTTGTGCAACCTGGATGAATTGGAAGCAATTATATCAGGCCTATTGCTAGATTACACTGATATCTGAAAAATCCAAGCTGGAAATTAGCCTGGTCATCCAGATCTATTTGCCATGGGCTAGGTATCTGGGAACTCAGATGCTGAGATTGTAGTCTTGAGGCTGCACATTTCATCAGGAAGTAATGATTATCTCTCCCTGTCAATTAAAAAACACAAATTAAGGTGGCTTTGGGTACCAACTGGCAAGTCTATGCTACATGGCCAATTGCAAGGGTTAGTTCAAAGACACAAGTGTCTTAAAAAACATTCATCGTTTCTCAGGGTCGCTAAAGCCGCAAGTGGCTCACTGCATCTACCTAAAAATACATACTGTACATATACATATTGTTTAATCAGATAATATATCTTGCTCGATAACTACTTAAAAAAATCTTTACATTTATAATGAATATCCTAGCTGCTCCTGTTTACAAAACACTTTGTAAACAGGCCCCCCTTAGGTAGTAGGCAAGGAATAAAACAATGCATGCTGTGCAGTACCCCTCCACACTGCCCAGTGTTTAGTGATGCTGGGCATTATATACACTATGCATGCATGCTCCATAGAGGTGACTGGGATAGGGGAGCTGCCTTCATCTCTATGGAGCATATAGTTGCACCTGTACAGTAGAGTATAAGAGCTGGGAAAAAACTAAATGTAAACACTGTCCAGCCACTGCCACGTAGTGTAGTGGGGTACTGCACTGCAACCAGTGTCTGATTTATTTTGTCTACTACCTAAGGGTGTGAGGGTACACATAGAGTTTTATAAATAAAGGTACAGTGGCCCTTTAAATACTACATTCACAAATAATTTGAATACATATTAAAGACTTATTTTATCCAGGTAAACAATCTTTTTTATTACCTTATTATAATTGAATATACTCACCCATTAGAAAATTTAGTGGATATTCTTCGTATTTCTTAATAACAGCTCCCATATAAAACTTGCTTCCAAAAATCTCAGGTGGCATAAATGTACCATACTTTGCCATTCCTATTTCATAGGGGGTAAATTCCACCCAGTCTGCAAGCAAAACAGTAGTACAAAGTCAGTATTCCCTTTAAAGATCAACTTAACCTAAATCAAGCATCGAATGACATAGAATTGTTTTTATTTAGGTGCAGAAAAATAAAATGTAGCATAAAAAAGTAAAAATTAATAAATGTACTGAGGACGGGTCCAATAGCACGTCCTTTAGTACATTTACTAGACAGAAAGCAATAGTGTAAAATATATTAAACAAAATAGTTTGCGCTGGAAGTAGGTATGTCGGCACCAGCCGCAACAGTATATTTGTATAGATGTAAAATGGAAGGCTTGTATAAGGCACCTCCCTGAAATAGTTTTTTTTAGGTTGGGATCTCTGATATTATATTTTTTCAATTTCATGCAATGCATCATGGCCTTTCCTATTTCTCTGCATGTCATATGTCATCTATCAAAAAGCATGGTGACAATTTCAAGCATATGGGATATGCCAGAAACACAAAGGTGACAAATATCTGGAGTACCAGCATTTTTCCTGCTGGATCATTTCCTACCAGTTTGCTTTGATAAGCCAACACACCCTGCTCCTGCCTCGCTAGTTAAAAATAGAAAAAGACATGCTTAATTGAACTGTGTATAATGCTTAAGGACCTGCCAGCTGAGAGGGCAGCCTAAACCGAAAACTAGAAGCTGGTGTGATCAACAATGTCATGGCGAGTAACAAAAGCTCTGGATATGAATGATGTACCTTACATGTATTTCCACACTAATTTTTTAATTTAATTTGGAAAGTACTTTTACTGGCAACATTTAGTGACTTCACACGCTTCTTAAAACAATACGTTTTTCGGTGTTCTATAAATTTACTACTACTATTTAATTTTTAAACACCAAAATTATAATTGTTTGTTTAATTTTAAACAAATTTAAATGATTAGTTTTCTTGACTTAATTGCACACATTGATAAATGTGCAGCAATTTAGGAACATTTGCATGACTGATCTTCAACCTAACAATATAACAACATAACTGGAATCTTTATGTAGGATTATGATCAAAATGTATTATCTTGTTTAGATTTGATCATAATGCATTGTTTTCCACATATATTAGGAGTGCATATAATAAACCAGCTATTACAAATTAATAACTGGAGTTATAGATTAAAAAAAAAAAAGTCCTATATGCCCTTGTATTTTTTTTACAATTACCATAATTTTTTTATATAGTGACAACATATTCCGCAGCACTGTACAATCGTTTAGACAAGAAAGGTAAGAAACACTGACAAGCATCATTGGCATACAGAAACAGTAGGTGAGGAGGACCCTGCCCAAACGGGCTTATAATCTGAGAGGAAAGGGACCAAAGACACTGTGGTGGGGAAGGGGAGACTACAGATGTATACTAAATAAAATGGGAGGAATTTGGGAGTACTGTAAACGGGAGCAGATAAGCTTCTCTAAAGGGTTGCGTTTTGAGGGATTTTTTAAAGTCTTGTAGAGATGGTGAGAGCCTGATATGGCGTGAGAGAGAATTCCATAAGGTGGGGGCAGCCCTGGTGAGGTCCTGTATACGAGAGTTAGGTGTGCGGGTAAGTGGGCAGGATAGTCTCAGGTCATTAGTGAAACGAAGGGGCTGATTTGGAGTATATCTTCTAATTAGGGATGAAATGTAGGTCAGTGCACATTTATGCAGAGCTTTGTAGGTAAGGCTGAGAAGTTTGAAATGTATCCTAAAAGAAACAGGAAGCCAGTGCCGAGATTGACAGAGGGGTGACGTATGAGAGTAGCAAGAGGTAAGGTAGAGGAGTCTGGCTGAAGCGCTCCTGATGGATTGAAGGGGGGAAATCTGGACATGCTTCCGGCCAATGAGAAGAAGGTTGCAGTAGTCAAGTCTGGAAATGCTTAGCACATGGACAAGCATATTGGTGGTTTCCTCAGTGAGAAAAGGTTGCATTTGAGAGTTGTTTTTTAGATGAAAACGACACAATTTAGTGATATACTGAATGTGAGTGGAAAAGGAGAGGTCATAGTCAAAAAGCATGAAAGAACTTCTACAACAGCAATTACTGGTTTTGAAGAAAAACAGTAAATTTACCGTTTAAAACTGAACTTGTGTAAATCGGATTTGGGTTTGGCCATTCAAAATACTGTACGAGTCTGAGTTCTTAATGCTGTTGCACTTTTTAAGTAAAACTTGTGATAAACTTTTTTTGTGATTTTATAGAAAAAAATAGTTATGGTTATCGGTTATCAAATGTAACCACCTCAAATGTATAAATACATAAAAGGTCAATATAAAGAGCTTGGAGTCAAATTATTCACGTTAAGGTCACTGCAAAAGGACAAGGGGGCAGTCTCTGCGTCTGGAGGAAAAGAGGTTTAACCTTTGCATATGGAAAGGATTCTTCACAGATAGAGCTGTGAAAATGTGGAATAGACTCCCCCAGGAGCTAGTTCTAGCTAGCTCAGTTAATTGTTTAAAAAAATATCTGGATGTATTCTAAATGCACAAAATATTACTGGATATTGAGTTCTATTAAGCATCAGAGATTGTTGATCCAGGGAATATCCGATTGCCTTATGGGATCAGGAAGAAATTTTTTTCCCCTGTTGGAGCAAATTGAACCGTGCTTCATAGGGTTTTTTTCCCTTCCTCTGGATCAACAGGGGGTAGCTGTGGGCATATCATTCAGTTTAGGCTTTTCTTCTATTTTTTTTGTCTCCGTATCTCTATAGGTTGAACTCGAAGGACTTATTCTTTTTTAAACCTGACTAACTATGTAACTATGTAAATGTCGCCAGTATCCCCTTCCAACAGGAATGCAGCTCAGAGGGGGTATACATTTGTAGTATTCTTTGATTTAAATAATGCAATATTTTTTAGTGATTTTACTGATTTTTCTTGTTATTTTAATAGTTGGAAAACATATTACAAAGATCTAAAGCACAAATCAGTATGTTTTCTTTAATTCAAGTCTGAAATCAGCAAACAGAATATATAACTTACTAAACAGTGTTTTGCATGTTGAGTAATTTTAAATATCAGCAAGAAGAGGTCAGTGTTAAAGCACCTTTACACAACGAATGGCGTTGGCCATGCATTCATTATCTTGAACAGGTGCTCTATAAAAATGCAAGCTTTCTTTAGGTGAACTTGGATGTTTGTGCCTATGGAGAGCAAAAGGGAAGTGCTGCAGGCACTGGCTATTCTCAGATACACAAATCGCGATCAGCCAGAAAAATCTGCCCTGGTTGATTAATTCTTCCCCTGAGAAGGCTCGGCCTGAAGACATCAAAAAAGGCTGACTGAATGTTTCCTGGTGTGGCTATAACCAGCTAGACTGCTCAATGCTTCTCTTGTTGTTTGTGCTGCTTATCTCAAGGGAAACAAAAACAATTGTAGCTGTATTTCTAACATGACTGAATGGTGGGTGTCTGTCTGCCACCAAAGACATGACCCCATCTAGCTGAAAATGTTACGTGTAGCTTTTACTTCTGTACTCATCACATTTTTGCGATACACTTTTATTATTCCAGTCACCCTGGTCGTAAAACATACCACCCTATTTTAAAACCAAGAAGATCCGTCATTGAAAAAAAGAGCCAGAATGTAAAACATTAGGTAAATCTTGTTCTTTGCATTCTTCATTTTTATTAGGCATTTAGTCAGACACTTGCTAGCCGACACACTCCTAGCTTAGTTTGCAGTCATTTGTGGAAGACGTCAGAACAAAATGTTTTCATAAATTATTCATGTAAACAACTCCTTCCTGCTTACGTCTGTAAGTGAATTAAGTCAAAGTGCATGAAGTCAAGGGCTAATAGCATACGAGAGATCCCTAATAGACATTTATAGGACCAGGTAGTTAAAGGAATTTTTCAAACACTTTGGAAGTTAAGGAGTTAGGGCACTAAATCAAGAGAATAGTTTTTACTATTTCTTCAGTTTATTATTCAAATCCAGGAAGTAGGCATGCCATGACCTAATGGCAGACAAAGTACACCTGTCATGAAATAAATATGCAGGCAGCCATTGCTGACCTTCTTCTGAAAATGCCAGAACCACTTTACCACTTCTGAGTCACAGCAACAAGAAAGCAGGGCATTTAAGTCCGTAAAAAGTCAGAATTCCTCATCTCAATACTTCTGGACGGGTATCCATTTTGCTGTTAATACTAATCCAAACAACCATCAGCACAGGGCTATTGTTCACTATGGAATAAACCCCAAAACCCAGCATGGGAGGTGCAGGAATTCTAATGTTATGTGCAACTTTTCTTCCTCTTTGGAGATGCTTACTAATGGTAAATAGCTTACACCGGGACATGGGGCAGGAGTTCCTGGTGTTTGCCAGAGCTGTACACATAGAGCAATAGGATACACATGCAGAAGTAATTTGTATAGCTGCAGGTGCAAATTACTTGTTCCAGGGATTTGTGGCAGCTCAGTTCTGCTTTAATCAATCAAGCAACATGCTGCAGCAGTCAGCAGTACTGCACGATTTTGCACTACACGTGGGTGCTGTGTCTTAGAGCTATGTCACAATGCCAATTCTGCCACCGGTGAAGAACTGGCATTTTACCTAATGGATGTTACTCTTATACTACTTGAAATGATGAAGAATCTCTAGCATAAGGACAAAAACAGAGCTGCATCTTGCTGGTTTGAGCAGTGAGAGAATTATGTCATAGGAGAAGGTGAGTAGATTCTTTGTGATTTTATTGGTGGTGTGTTGTCACAAAAACAGAATCACTAATGTGACAAGGGCCCTTATGCTGTCTATTGCATCAAATCCCATATGTACTCTCAGACACACAGCACATTTTTTGTGATAATATTATATAAAAAGCACACAAAATTGTGTCAGGAACCAGTAATGTATTCCTAAACAGCTAGTAAGTTATTGTCTGTTTTGCTGGGTATTTAGCAGTGTGTGTACTGGGCAATGTAATTGGGTCATTATACAGGAGAGACAATGGGGGGTGAAACACACTTTTTCAATGTAGAGTGTTGCAGTGACATGAGCCACCACAATGCATGTTAACACACATTACGTGCATTTTAAATAGCACCCCAAGCGACTAAGGCGACACAGCTCTGAAACACATGCAGTGCACCACCACACATGGTAACACACTACTGTGCAATCCATGAGAAAAATGCTGCATGTCTATTTTTTGTCTGTTCTCGTGTGTTAGCATCCCATTCACAATGAATGGGCTTCCTTAACTCAGTACACAATAACACATGACTAAAGAATGGTAAAGTGTGAAAGGGCCCTTAGCTTGCAGTACATACTGCCTGTGGTCCCTACTGCCAGTCTGTTGCCAGACCATCTGAGATTTCTGTGGAAATTTCAATATGCTGAGTGAACAAGGGGAAAGCAAGTATAGCCTGCTTAAAGACCCTCCAATAAAGTGTATCTAATAATTTGTCCAGAACCAGAAAAAGCCAATTAGGTCATATCCTGTATCACATTGTTTTTCATTAATATCACAAAAATGAAATAGTTGGGTATATCGGCATGAAGAGATCAGGCTGACATTACTTGCTCGTGGACTTGACTTGTCTGGCTTGCTTGTGACCACCAAGCAAATTGGTCTGTGGGCAAGCTATGATTCTGACTGTCCAGATGTAAAAGTAAAGTTGTTCAGGATAATTTTACACATAGACATGCCATTAGCAGGAATGCATGTATGACCTAGTATTATCCCAAGCCTACTAAGTCCAGACATGTTGATGAATCTTTCTGGGAGGTTAATATGAACCTTTTTCCTGATGACCATTAATGTATGCATCTATTGATAAAAAAGGAGTGTACATTTCTAATGTGTACCTAAAATGTTTTGAAAACAGGAAAACAAGATACAAAACAATCAAAATCTATTTAATTTTATCAAAGGGGCTTACATATTCTGCATATCAGAATATGGAAAGGGTCACTCTTCAAATAAAAAAAAAATGATTTACCATTAAAATACTTGTCAACACAGTATACAGGTTAAACACGACATTCTATTTTTACAGAAGCGAACCAAAGATTTACCAGCAAACATCAGCTCTGATACATCCGGCTTCACATGAAGACACGTGAACAACGGCATTGGGCACTGACCATCACATATTTTCTCCTGCATGCTACTTAACTTGCTGTTCATTCTCTGCAAGTAGATTATTTAAGGATTCATGAAAAAGCAAAAATGAAAAAGCAAAACCCAGAAATTATGCACAATACATAAATGTTTAACTCTGTTATATTCCAGCCAGTAATAAAGTATAGTTAAAGCATGTTTAGTTCAGTCAAGCGAAGGACACAATAATTAGTATCACAATAACACATGTGTTTCTAGTCATCTATTGGGCTATATCTTGGAGGGATTGGTAGTGACATTTACGGGGTTATTCACAAAGCTGCCAAAAGGCAGCCGAGTGAATAACCGAGCCATAGTGAAGTGAGCTGAATAACGTTCGGCTATTTCACTACGGCTCAGTATGGCTGATTTCAGCCGTACATCAGCTGAAATCAGCCATACTGTACATCGGCTGCACTTCGGTCAGCCGAACATGCTCTGCTGGTTCGACTGAGCCGAAGTGCAGAAGGACTTCAACTCAGCATATCCAACATCTGGAGAAAAGAGCTAACTTACTGCCGCTCTCCCCTATTCACATAAAGGCCGAACGGCAGTGAGTGAATAGCCGAATGCCGCTGAACTCGGCTCGCCTATTCTGTTCGGTACCTCAATGGTACTGAGCAGAATAGCAAATCAATGAAAATAGTAAAAAAAAAAGGAGTTGAAAAAATAATTTTAGAATGTGAATAAATTGAAAAATAAAAGATTACAAAAAACAATTGGGCGGAGCTAGCAGTGGCAGCTAGCTCCGCCCAACTGTTTCCTATTGGCCGGGACCTGCTAGAGTCTTCTAGCAGGTCCCGGCCAATGAAAAAAACTGGGCGGAGCCAGTCGTGAGATCACAGCTGGCTCCGCCCAGCTGTCATTTGTGGAGCAAAAGGCCCGCCTTCAGCAGGCCGTTCGCCCTGCTTTGGCTGACACTTTGGCTCATTTGAGCGCAAGCAAAGCTACGGCTGGATCCTTTGGCAGCTTTGTGAATAGACCCCTTAATCTACATGCAACTATAGTACAAAAAGTAGTAATTACAGGGAATTGGTGAGGTTTTGTTGAAAAATGGATGTAACTGTTTGTAACTAATTAGTTTGTAACTAATAATGGATGTAACTGTTTGTAACTAATTAGGCTTGTGGGACATCACAGACTGGGTTTAAAGTCATGACTTGAGATTTAAAGCCAGGCAAGCATCTACATACACAGATGAAATATATACTGTATATGAGAGCTGTATTAACTGGTAAAGGATTTGTATTTCTTCTCTAGTTCTGGGATTTACACAGCTCTGTCACAGCATATTCCTTCCTGTCAAGGGAGGGGACCTGATCGTTCTCTGCTCCAGTTTCACTGTTAGTTTTTTCACTGTAAGTTTTACTTACAGGTCTCCTCCCCATCCTGTGATTGGAAAGTTAATGGAAAAGCAGCACGTTAAGGAGCGCTGTCACTCTGCTCTTTCTTCCAGTCAGGATGCTCCTTGTTAGAATATGGCAGCACAACTGACTGCCTTTATGTGACCAGTCTGAGCTCTGCTGTACAAAGGACTGTGAGAGGCTGGCACCAAGACAAATTTAGGCACTTACTGTACATTAATTGCATAAAAACATTATTAAAAAACATTTAATCATATTGTAATGATTACACAGCTGCATTAATGTGCATCTTTTATATTCCTAGAGCTTTAGTTGAGTAGTATAATACAGAGCAACTTCTCTCCCACATTCATCCAGTATATGTTCAAAGCTGGTAATTTCAACAACAGTAATATAATACTACATCTTACTAAAACTGGATTTTTGTACTTACCATAAAATCAATTTCCTGTAGTTTATTGAGGGACACGGGAATTCAGATACTGTTGCGTTAAACCGCCTACATGAAGATTTGAAAACTGGCAAAAAAAACACAACAGTGACCAGCGTGGTATAACCCCTCCTACTCACAACATGCCTCAGTTTGTTGGAAAAGCAGTACCAAGAGCATGACTAGAGACAAAGTATGGTGGACCCAGTTCCCTCAATGAACTTCAAGAAGTTGATTTTATGGTGAAAACAAAGTCCTGCTTTACTTAGCGTTCATTGAGGGACACAGGAATCTAGAGACTGTTGGGATGTCCAAAAGCAGTCCAAGTGAGGAATGAGCAAAAACAACAAAACACTAAAAGGCCCACAAAAGACCAATAGAACTGGGGACTGCCAGCAGCTCAATGAGTATCATGAACGACCTTACTTGATAGATGCTTCTGATAAAATCTAAGAGTCTGGAGGCCACTAAAGCCACAGACAGATCAGATAAGGATTCTGCAGTGGAGGGTGTGGAAGCATGGTTATGGCCTCGGTGGTCAGAGTCAGCAGCTAAAGTAGCAATTTGGCCCATAAAATCTTGCAATGACTGCGAGGCAATCTGAAAGAGGGACCACACCCAACTAAGCCAAGGAAGACTCTGGGGATGGCATAGGCTCAAGCAGAGGACAATATTTCAGGCTTTCAGTGTCAAGCCCTTCAGGGGTGTACTCCAGGCAGCATTGGAACCTTTGGTGGATTGAAAGATGGAGGCACCTGGGGCAGAGATACTGTTCCCCATATATCTATAATCTCTCAAGTTGTACTGAAAGGCAGATTACAACATTGCTCAAGGTACAATGTTAAGCCTTGAATACTCATGAACCAGCTGCTGGTAGCAGAAGGGGGTTTAGATTGCCAAAGGTTATCAGGACACTGTAGGTGGGCAGTAGAGACAAACTGAGGATAGATCAACGTGTCACTTGCAGTCAGGAGCAGCAGTGGGAAGTTGTTCCTCTAAGCTGAATGGCGAGAAAGAGATTACAGAGCACAAGTGACACTCCACCCAGTGGATGATGCCAACGCTCAGACCCTCAGCATTAACTCCCTCCACAGTGAATTGGTGCTCAGACCACATGGCCGACTCACAATGTGAGTTTTGAGAGACTGGACCACAGCTATGCCATGGCGCTGGACCCGGAAAACCCTCTGGGGCTAAATAACCAGTACACTCAGGTTTGTAAAGTGCCAAGTGCAGAGTCCAGTGCCTGAAAGTCACATTCTAGGCGAGCCCCACACTCATCTAGTCTAATGGGCCAGAGTATGGCCTCCAAAACCAGTGATGAAAAGCTGCCGATCCAGATAGCTGTGTATAGAGACCAGCTCAGCAGCTTGGACAAAAATATTTGTTGAAGAAAAAATAAATGCGATTGAAAAAAATAGCTAGCAAAAAGAAAGATGAGACTTTTCTTAAAAAGATGGCCATTCTGATAGGACACTAGCAAAAAACTGAGAAATGCTGGGAGTAGGAGGGGTTATATGGGTTATACTGATCTGGTCACTTTTTTTTGTCTGCCAGTGTCCAAATCCTCCTGTAGATGACAGTATATCCCAACAGTCTCAAAATGCCTGTGTTCCTCAAGAAACACTTACGAAAGCTTTGTTTTTTTTTTAATAGTATGTCTAGTTCAGGTCACAGTATTTTGGATTTTTTCTCTGATGTAATACAAAGAAAGAATATAAAAGATTGGTACGATTGTACTCAGCAACCTTATTCTTTTAAATGCCTCTAAAATTGCTGTGGAAATAGCTGTGTCCAGGAAAGGTGTTCTGACCTATTTCTGACTATTCGGCAGGTTGATGGCTATTACTGATATTGTAAATCATTAACATAGATTTTCTTTGTCCATGGAGCTATTCAGTTGACAATTTATTTGTGTATTGTTCCCACTTTCGGCGATTGTTCAAGGCAGTCTTATTTTTTAAGCATGACTTGACAGGGAAAAATGCAGTCTTTTCTCAGTCATCTACTGCCACCTTATTAACTACCTAGGGATAATAGTAAAGACAGTCAAACTTTTATTGTTGGAACTCAATATGTCAATAAACTATGTTTACGATACAATAAACCTTATCAGGCTACATTTTCACTAAAACTTGATAGAACAGAATAAAAACGAACTATACTGTGAATTAGATCAATTTACCATGTTGAGCAAAAAATAATGTACCCACAGGTTTCTCAGTTCTGTTCTAATCCTAAACTCTGAACGATATAACATTGTCGCCCCATAATCAAGTATATTGAGTTTGTTACAAGCCTGTTATTGGAGCTGAAGCTTTCTCCCCCTGCACTAGGGAACTGCTTTTGGTTATTATTTGGTTAATATTTTTTTGGCCTGTTTTATCTTTTACAATGTTTTCTTCAGCAACACAACTGTTTGCAAAAAGGCCAGTGCCTTATTAAAGAAAAAAATGCAGATCACATTTGTGTACTGTAAACTGGAAAATTCCACTTATAATTCTAGCCCCATTCTCCTTCACAATATTTTCTTGCTCATTCTTTCTTGGTAATCCTGCACCATTAATCTAATGCAGATATAATGGTGTAATGATACTGGGTTTTACCTACAAGTGGAACTATAAAAAAAATGAAGATTTTATACTCACAATAAAAAAAAATTTTTTCACATTTTGTGAGGGACAAAAGATTTATTGAAATTTGGGTTATTATACTGCTGCCTACAGAAGGATTTGTACATTAGCAAACAAAAAAGTGACCAGCCTAGTATAACCCCTCCCAGCATGCCTCAGCTTTTCAAAGCAGTGCCAATAAAAAGACCAAAAAACAGAGGGTTTGTACCGGATTATTAAAATCATGTTTCATTTTTTCTACAATGAGGGACAAAGGATTTAGTGACATTTGTGAGGGTTGGGCAACACAGCAAACAAAACACTAACAAGCCCAACTCAAAACAAACTGGGGACTGCCTTCAGCTCAAAGAGTTTCCTGAAGAATGTTAAACCCACGGTTGGCATCAGAAGAGGCTTGAACATCCACTGGTAAAAAATAGGGAACATGTAAACAGAAGACCAGGTGTCGGCCTTGCCAATCTGGTAAAAAGTTGCCTGGTGCCAAAAAGCCCTCACAGATCTAGTAGAGCATGCCTTGACAGGAAAGGATGGAACTAAATCCTTAAGATCATAAGCTTGAATGATGACCTAAACAGTTTGCAAGCAGATATCACCGCTACAATTCCCATTCAGGGCTCCAACTATATGAGAACCTCCTGGGTTTGGGTAAATGAGCTCGCCCTCACTCCAACTAGTCTAGTAGCAAGAACGGTATTGCACAATATGGGTACTGCCGATCAATAACTTAATTGACATACCTGTATCCCTGTACACTGATAAACCCCACCATACAGCCACACACCTCTAATGCATTTCACCACACAGGTTTAATAATAGATGTAATGGCAGTAATGGGGAGAGATCTTTATGTACATCCCTAATTAAGGCAACAAGCCTCGGTGATCAGATAAACCCCCATCCTAGAAAAATCTCTGTTATACATTCAATCCTTATGGTGGCTGCGGTGTCTGCAAATCAGTTTTCACCGATAGATTTAAAATGTAGCCAAATAAGTAATAGATCTCTTTCGGGTATATACAAAGTAACCAGGAACTTAGATGTGTCAAAATAAACAAAGGCAACAAAACATGTGTAGATTCCAATTACATGCTAGTTCCTATGATATAAGATTTATAATCCATATATCTTAATCCGGATAAAAGGGGTTGATCTTTAAGAGCCCATGAGCTTTTGCCAGGAGTCTGATAAGGTCGGAATACCAGATCTGTCTCGGCCAATTCAAAGCTTTGAGTACCACTACAATGCCCTTCATCTCAATCCTGCAGAAAAAGGAAGGTTATGTAGGGCAGTAAAGGCATGGATCAGGTTGTACTGATCCTATGGAGCCACCAGAGTAACTTTTTCTACCAGAGGATCACTGATCCTGGAGATAATCCTATCCAGATTGTTGTTGAATCTGGAGGCCAGGATGTTCAATTCCATCATCCCCCACATATTGCACAGGTTCTGGAATACTTCTACATGTAGGGACCAGTCCCTTGTGTTCAGGCGCTCCCAGCTGAGGATCTCAGACAATTGTCCACACCTTTGATGTGAATGGTGGACAAGGCTGGAACATAAAGTCTTGCCCAGGAAATAATCTTTTCGTCTTCTCTTGCTGAGCAAAGACTACTGGTTCCTCAGGGATGGTTGATGTTACCTGCTGCCGTGGCATTGTTCAACTGGATTCTGATTGGTAGACCCTCCAATCAAGAAGTCCAGCATTGTAGATACAACCAAATAGCTGGAAGCGCTTAAATGTTGAGCGGGAGTCAAGATTCCTCCAGCATCCAAGTCCCTTGCATTGCCAGGTTGTCTAGGTTTCCTTCCCAGCTTGTGAATCCATTATGAGGATCTTCCAAGGGATCAGAAGGAAGGATTTCCCCAAGTTGCTGGATTCCTGAGTCACCAGGCCAGAGACTACCTGGTCTTTAATGTCAGGTGAATCAGTAAAGCACTGCACCAAAACTGCCTCAAAAGAGGCTACCATCAGCCCCATGACTGTCATGCAAAAGAGAAAAGTTAGTTGACTCTTATACAGAACAGAGTTTGGCAACAGAACTTTCAAAATTTTTCTTGTGGAAAAAAAATTATGTGTCCAGGATCAGACCCAAATACTCTAAGTTGGCTCTAATGCAGTGTTCAACTGAACCTTTTTAAGTCCTGAACTGTCTGCTAAACATGCTAGTCACTGTCTCTGCTGACTGTTCCCCTAACAGGAGGTTGTATAGATATCCCACAATGGGGATTCCTTGGGCTTGTAGTAAGGCTAGCACAGGGGCTAGAACCTTGGTAAAGACAGAGCAAATGGTATGGCCATGAACTTGCAATGCTGAAGACCCACAGCAAAGTGAATAAATCCCTGATGTGCTGGAAAAATAACAGCATGCAAATACGTGTTCTTGATTTCTACAGAGGCCCAAAATCTCCCTGATGAAGAGAGGCGATAACAGACCTGGTGGAAAATGTTTGGTAGTGCAGGGCTGTTGGCATTAACTCTAAACGCTCCACAAATAAAGAATTAGTGCTACTTAAAGCTGGATCCATTCCCATGAGTTTTGTCCATTACCCTAAGGTTTGGCAGACTAACATCATGGCCATTAGAAGTTGCAATACAGGGCCAGCAAGGGAAAATAGTTTGTTTGGAGAGTGTCTCAAGCAATTTGTCCATAGATTGCTTAAAAACTGGCATATCCTCTACAGAGATTGTCAGAGCTTTTAGGATGGGACACTGCTGGATCTACTGCGGGAAGAGCCTATTTCCAAAAAAGGGCCTCCTCAAATGGATATTGGACCTCAAAACATTTGGGAGATATAAACAGTCATCAGGAGTTTTCCAGTCAGCATACAAAACTTCTGGAAATAGCAGGGGCATGGGAAAAGTTTTCTTGGTCCTAGGTCCTTTCAGGGATCTTAGACTGGTAGCAACACTATTAGAAGCTACAGGCTGCACCTCCATTTTTTAGTTGTCGTGCATCCAGTGCATTAAGAGCCAAAATTATATCTCTAAGCCTGGGAGTTATGGCAGCTGCCTCTGACTTCACAGGGAAAACTTAATCTTGCATGGATTTTTGAGACACTCTCTCAAAAACAGCATCCACAACCAAAGGCTTAGAGACTGCTAAACCTGCAGGCAAATCAGATGATTCTTCAGGGGACGGTGTAGAGGTATGTCCTCTGTGGTCAAAGTCAGCAATTAACATTGCAATTCAGCCCATATAATTCTGCATAACTGCGGTGAAATCCTGCCTGGTTAGAGAAACAGGTCATACTGCACAAAGCCAAGGTGGCCTCAGTGCAATGTAAGGACTCAAGCAGGAGACAACCAACATACCAGGTTGTTGGTGTTAGTTTTTTGAGAGGAAACAATGCAGGTAACTCTGAAACGGTTAGTGGATCAAGAGCTGGAGAGGCTTGTATTCAGCAGGACTGCTCCTCTTAAGTTTTTGATCTGACATGTTACAAAACAATGGAAACAACTTAAAAGAGAATACCAGGTAAAACCTTGGATACTCATGAACCAATTGCTAAAAGCAGGAGGGGTTCTAATTACTAGAGGTGACTGGGTCACTGTGGAGGGCAGCAAAGACTAACTGGGGTGGAAATGCATATCTCTTGCTAAAAGGTGCAATAGCGGGAAGATGCTACCTAATGCTGAAGGCAGGAACAAAGCATGGCGTGAGCACGCAAAACTTCACCTAGTAATGCAACACTCAAATCCTTAACATTTTAACCCTTTCAGTGGAGACCAATGGCAAAATGGGGATATTATTGATGCCCAACAGTTCTAATAAATATAGTAGTTCCTGATGCTTTTACTAATGGCTAGCCATTCTAGTGGTGAGTCAAAAGGAAGACGGAGAATGGGGCAGGCCAGGTGTTGGGACATGTCAAATTAAAGAATATCTGAAAGTCTGGGATGATCGCTGGGAAAAGATTTTAAAGCTTTTTTTTTATTGCTGTAACAAAAATAGCTAGTTTTGAAAAGGTGACGTGTACGTGTATGTCTTGGCGCGACTCTCCTCCTATAGAGGAAATTAGCTTCCTCTTCTGTACTGAAAACGTCACAATACTAGAGGTAATAAACTTTTTTTTGTTTTGATGTTTTTTCACACAGAGAAATCTGTAAGCTACATCTGTGAGAAAGTCGCAAAGACTGGCTAAAACTTCCCTTTTACAAACCCCCGCCCTGAGGTAACATCCTGCACTAAAATTTTATGTGGAATTAAAAAAAAAAAGTGTTACATGGTGAAATAATACTTAGAATGATTAACCCTAATGATTTAAACAATCAGTCAAAATTTTGAATGACAAAAATGTCCCAGATTAATGATTCGTCTGAAAAATAAGCCTATGATTAGTAAAAGATAATTATCAGCAAAACTGATTTATGCAAATTGTCTTAATTCTAAAAAAAATTAGTATTCAAAAGGGAAAAGATGCTTAAGATTCTTACATCTCGAATAAGTGTCTCCCCAATGAGCATGGAAAATACATCAGTAAAGGTAACTGGCTGCCCAGAACTTTTTTTTTTCCACAAAGCCTCAATGTAGCGTTTCACTTTCTGCGGTGTCAGCAAAAGTAGGGGACTGTGACTGACACTGTTCATAACCTCCTTGTTTATTTCCTTTGGTCCTTTGCTTGGAAAATCCGGATGAGAGTAAAGTGTAGACATATACCTATGGATAAAGCATGATGGACAAATAAGAACTTTATAAACTCGAATCCCACTTCTGTCAATATGCAAAATTATTTAAAAAGATGTGCTTATTATTCACCTGTTTTATCTGCCTGTTTGTATAAAATCCCCGAAAAATACAGGGAATATTACCTGTGACACCATCTGTGACAAATACAGGGAATATTAACTGTGACACCATCACCTCATTTGTAAGAAATATATTATTCTGTCTTTCTACAATTCACATTCTACTCTTATTTTTCAGAGTAAAAAAAAAATAAAAAATGTTAAAAAGGAGAATTATGGGGTGAGTGAAATACACTTATAATTAGAGCTGAGGTGTGGTGTGACACTGAAGCTGTCACCTGCTGGCTCTTTTGATTGGGAACTGAGCAATCGGCGGTATGTGATCACTCGTAAAGAGAACTATGGCAAAAAAAAAGGTTGGGCCATAGTTCTCCTTTAAAACAGTTTAAATACAAAAAAAACGGGGCAATTGATTATGATACTCAGAACTTTAGGAAACTAAATGTAATCCAGATCCTCTCATTGTCATGTCACAGACTGAGGGAGGGAGAAGACTTGTAAGTGCTAAAAAAGTCAGGCCTTGTGCGAAGCCAGACAGGGTTGTGCTGTGCAGCAGAGGTGGAAGAATATCAGTACTGGATGGACAGACATACAAATGCTCTGGCAGGTAAAACAGTGTATTTAGCCATTTTAAGCCAAGAAGTAGTATATGTATGATTTATTTTTACAAATAACATGGGTTAGAGTTTAGTTTAGAGCTATATAAATATTTCAAGGGGGCATCATTTCATTGAATGGTTTTAAGCTTTTTGATAATTATAAAAAAAAGTTATGTTGTTAGGGGGAATCATTAGGAAGAATAATGTTATTTGACACAGTGTATGTGGAAGTAATGTCTGACACAAGTTCAACCCTTTTGCTGTCACACATGCAAGTACTGCTTCTGTGGGATCACCTACCAGTAAACAGACTCCTGATTGTACTGTATTTTTAGACTCCCTCAGCCAGCTTTCTTGTGGAAGTGATTCGTACAATCGAGAGGTACTGTGCCCCCCTGCCTGACCCCCTCATCATGTAACCTGAGCTTACCGGTCCCTTCTGTGTACCAGAGACATCCGTGGTGGGTATCAGTGGGGAGAACAGAGGGACTTTACTGAATGTCTGTTCATTGATCTTCCCTGCATAGAATGAAAGCGGGAGCAACAAGCATTACATCACTTCCAGTTTCAGAGTTGTCATTCCTTGTGCACATTTAGCAGTTAATTGTATGTAGATGCGACATTAGGGGTCTAAAAAACCCTTGATCTCTCCTTAAGGCCCCGTTCCCACTGCGCGATATGCAAATCGCGCGTTTGTCGCGCGATTTGCATATTGCGCGACATCGCGAGATTTGCCGCGCGATGTCGCGTTCAAGCTTGCATTGAGCAAGCTTGAATCGCGGCTACATCCGCTCCGACCCGCGACAGCAGGACCCTTTGCCCCATTGGATTGCATTGGCGCGCGATATCGCGGGAATTACCGCGCGATAAATCGCTCAATGTGAACGGGGTCTAAGGGGGACTGGTCACTTCCTATGCGCTATCACATAAGGGGCTTGTCAGCCTTCTTGTAAAAGCAAAAACAGTTAAGTGCAAAAAAGAGAGAGTTAAGAAAATGTAAATTTGATAAAATAAACAAACAAAATAGCTTTTAAAACTCCCCCATCCCCATGTACATGCACATACAAATGTAAACGCGCACGTCAAGTATGCGCTTATGTATGAAAATGATGATTGCGCCACATGTTAGGTATCACAGCACACGTCAGAGCAAGAGCAATAATTCTAGGACCATTATTCATGGTTAGCAATAAATTGATGACTTGTAAAGGCTTTTTAAAATGTCGCCTATAGACACTTTTGGGTGCCATTGTTTCACAGGTGTGCACAAACGTAAAGTGATATTAAAGTATAAAGGTTTTTAAGCTATTTTAAATGTTGAATACATCACTTACAAAGGATGCTGCTCCTTAATGTTTAAAAGTTTTAACTTCCTGCAGGATCAGCTGGCCCCCTGAGCACTGGCACTCATACCCTGTTTCTGGGTGGCTTCTTTCCCTTGCAGGGTTCTATAGAGCCGCCCTAGTGTGTGTTAGTAAGCTGTGTGAGTCTCCACAAACACACAGGAACAGCAAGGCTCTGCTCCCCTGCTCCTTGATCCCCACTCCTCCCTCTTCCCTTCTCCGGGCTAATGAATGGACATCTACTGAGGACTGTGCTGTCCTTTGTGATATTGTACTGTGCAGGAAGTTCAGTGAAGTAGAGCTGAGAGAGTTGGAGCCAGTTGTTTGGAAACACAATAACTGTAAGTGCTTGGGCAACATTTGAAGAACTACTTGTCTGGCCAATGTATATTTGTTTGACCTGGATTCATCATTGTAAAAAGACTTTAATCCTACATTAAAGATTCACGTTTGGCAACTGTTTACTTGTCACAATTCTTAAATTGTAACCAAAACATTGGGTGTTTGTGTGTACTCAAATTAATTTAGTGTATGTTTTTACTGAAGGTATTCCTTTGATAAACAGTTGCACTAATATTGTAACATAAAAATATGCAACTGTCCCCATTTTATTCTACAGGGTCTCTACTTTCAGAAAATATATAGTAGGAGTGTTATAATATGTGTATACATCGTGTACTCCTATTGTTCCCTCATCCTCTTGCTCTTCAATTAAAGCACCACTAGAGGGCAAAAGGCATCAGAGAAAGGAGTGGGTTGGAGTGTCAAGGTTCATGCTGAATCTTGAACAATAAAGTTGTTTTTAGCCCGAAGGTGAACAGGGTACGGCCTTGTATGTGCTATGTGAGCCTGTGCATAGGGAGTAGAAAAAGCTAAATGGTGGCTAGAGGCTCCCGGTGTCAGAAAAGAAAAAAAAAAAAACGATCGCAGGGAAAGGTTTATCTGCTCGATCGAGCAGATAAACCTTTCCGGGAGCAAGGGTTTCTCTCCCGGGCGGCTGGGAGCCGCTATCTAATAGCGGGAGACTCCCGGAGCGTCCGGGAGAGTTGGGATGTCTGTCATCCCAGCAGTTTAAAAGGAAACTGCAACCATTTCTTTTTAACTTTACCTAAAAAAAACTATGCATTTTTAAAATGTCACCATGTGATAGATCAATTTCATATATCAAAACACATATGCATACATTTTTTATAAAAATAATACAGGGGTGTGGAAATTTTAGAAAAAACTACTTGTCCAAGGACTAAAGCGGGAGCCGAATCTACTTGTCCCTCATGACAATCTACTTGTCCTGATACAAAAAAATAATTTTAACCAAAACCGTATTTAGTAGTGCTAAGAAGCACTTCTCATTGGTCACTGCCGTCAGGTGACCGCGTTGACCAACGAGTGCTTGCAATTTGCGATCGGAATTCACAATACATGGAACAGGTACAGATAGTACACCCGTACTGGTGGACGGGAAGGACCGTTTGCCGAAAGGTAAGTATAGTGGGAGGGAGATTTGTGCGGGTAATTCCATCGGGCGTCGGGCGATACGAATTCCACACCCCTGTAATAACAAGAATAAAAGTAATAATAAAAGAACAAGCAATTTTACCATGTAGATCCAGACAATCCAGCAACATATGTTACACAGTCTAAGACTCCTGATTCAAATAAAGCTTTCATGACTCCAGAGAAGCCAACCATTGCACGAAATCCACCTCCAGAGCCTAAAACTGCAATGACAGGTACCTAAAAAATATCAACATTTGCATCAAAACCCCAAAAATACAAAGCCACATGGAGATTGTTGTTTACATTCTTGATCATGAAGATCCATTCACTTTGTGCACAGGGAAGTACATTACCGCATGCTGACAAATTTCTTGCAGAATTATGGGGTCTCGTCAGAACACCAACAGGAAGATGGTTACAGGGACTGTTCACACGGATGCATTGCGGCTGCGCTGGGAAAAACAGCCAGCGTAGCTGCAGCGCATCTGATGTAAATAGATGCAAGACAAAGCAATCTGCCTTGTTCCAAATGGGCTCGGTTCACACCACCACGATGCAGTGCAGTGGTGTGCACTGGAAAAAAAAATGGCATGCAGTACTTTTTACCAGCGCACCGCAGTGTGATGTGGTACAACCGCATTGCATCACTATGTGTCCATAGATCTTAATGAAATGTCATTTGTGTAATTTCAATATATTCTAACATATAGTGCACTGCAAACAAGCACATCAGCACTGTGGCGGGCACACGCACATCAGCAGCCGTGCGGTGCCAAGCAGTGTTATGACCCGGTGAACTACAGCTCTATCTGATAGAAGACTGACAATCTATAGAGTAAATTGTATCCACTGTATACATGTTAAAGCTTAAATTTAATTGACATGTCAATCCATCCCAAAATATTTTGTTTTGCTTTTTGTCTGGTGGCACTCATTTTTTTTATATTTTGGGTGCACACACTTTTCTCTGTTTTGGGGTCTCCAATGGCGAGATCTCCCCACAATAGTTCCAGACTCCTGCCCACCTTAAAATGTCAGTGTGTTTCTGTTCACTTTTATTTTCCATAGCAAACTAATTAAAAAAACAAAAACACCAGGGAAAGTGCTTTATTAGCAGTGGCAGATGTATATGCCTGGAAATGTAAGCACAGAGATCTCACTATTAAAGTTCTCTATAATTAAAAGAAAAATGTTATTTCTTTTTTTTCAAAGAGGATGAACAATTAAACTACCTATTCCTTTGGGTGGACTGACTCTTTGATCATTCTAGAGATCTGTGAACAGTGGAACAGAGATGAGAGAGAAGATACCAGCCCAGCCAATATAATGTAATTTCATACGGTAGGTACAGCTACCTTACAATAATTTGATTAATTTCTTACTTTTGTTAGAAATTAATCCAATAATTTGGTATGCAATTTCTTTCAAACTAGAATTTGATGTATATAGCATAATCGTTAATTTAATTTTTATGCTTTGCACCACATTTCTGTTATAAGTATTTTGCATAAACATACAGAAAAATTTAGATGGGATAGTAAGGGAAGCGTTCAAGCTGGGCAAAAGCAATGTTCAACACGTGCCCCAAGTAGACCCCACTCTGTAGGAGGCTTCAACATTTTTGTTTAAAAAAGTATTTTTACAGTACAACTAGTACTAATAATGTAAACATTTTAAAAAATAAGGTTTATTTAGTTACCATGAAATATGTTCTTTGGAGTCCATTGAGGAACACACAAATTCAAACACATTCAAGTTATTCTGTCACCTACTGGAAGTTTAGGACACTGACAAACAGAAAGAATGTAAACCAGCCCTTGTATAACCCCTCCTCTACCCATCATGCCAAGTATTTTTAAAAAGCAGTACCAGGGAAAAGCAAAAATGCACATAGGGAATTCCTGTGTCCCTCAATGGACTCCAAGAAATTGATTTTTGGCAAGTACAAAAATCTTATTTTCCTTCTCATCCATTAAGGGACACAGCAATTCAGAAACTGTTGGGGGTGGACACCAGCAACTGACATACACAAGAGGTTTGATGTGCAGACCAGGACAGAAGAGATCACAACCAAGGAGAATGACTCCACTCAGGGGAACATTGCAATAGTGAGAGGCTGTGAAATCAAAAAGTCTGCAAAACAGGCAGAACAAAATGACTACTTAATAAAGAAGAAACAGTCAAATGACATGATGTGGTAAACATTCTATAAAGCCATCTTATACAAAGGGACTAAGATAAATAACACATGGCACATAATATTGTTATTGTTGGAATATAATTACTCTTTCCTTTGTTCCTTTTTTTTTTTTTTAAAGGTGGAAGTATTGGAGACTCTATACCTAATATTGTGCATGTCATTCTTCAGTAGGGATAAGTCCATCTTGACAGACACTATCTACGCTGTTAATGAAGCCTGAAATTGATGTATGGCATCCATATCCTTCCCTGAGAGTTGGTTCCGTTTTCCCTAGTGTGCAGCCATCCCCCTTTTCCTCCCCATCAGTACCAATAGGGGCTGTCTGCTCAAAAGATGCTGTATTTGGGGTGCTGCTGGGCTTTTTTGCTGTGTCTAGGTGTTGTACTCCACATGCCAATGGAAGGCTGTCACCATCTTGTGCCTTTGCTGCTCTGATATTGCAGAATTAAGTCGGATTTGGTGGAAGAGACAGAAAACTCAGATACTGCTCACATTCTGAAAGCCAGCCATGCACTGTCCTGGGAGTAGACATCTTTAGTGAGGGTTTGAGCTAAAAAGCCTCGCCTGTTGGTGACTAATAGTTAAACACCTATGTGGCCTTATCTGGATAAAACTGGCTAGTTCTGACAGCATGGGTCTGAGAACTGACCCTCTTCAAGCCAGGTCACCTAAGCATTCCACATGTTAGGAACAAGCACAAGGGTGAACATAACGTACACTGCGTCAAAAAAGGAGTCAGGTTCTTGTTAGATAATGGAGCAGTAGGAATTAGACCCAGATACCATATACCATGAGAAGTTCCACAGCATGTGAAACTTCTTGAAGAAGGGAAGGGAGGTACAACTCCCGAAGCCAAGTTCCACTAGAACTGGAACAAAGGGTCTCGGGGTGTGGAAAACCCAGGTGATACATTGCTATGTGCAAAAGCAGCAGAAATATAATGAACGGCAGCTGAAAGAGATGCCAGGCATGAGAGGTTAGCCTGTGGGCTTAAGTGCTGACCTGAGCACCCAAATGTTGGGTAGACAAAGTACCTGAGGGCCCGTCTGGAAGTATAAACAGCCCCCACTTTTAGAAGTGGGGGTGCACTTTCATGCAGAAGGCTTACTTGGGACTTCAGGCTCTAAAGTCCCATGAGTAACAGCTGCCAAACTAGATGGAGAAAAATGTGATTCCTCCAACCCCTCTGCGGACCTCCTGCACAAGGCAGGAGCACACTCTGCCACCCCCTCCCCCTCTTCCCCCCCGTAGTATTGCTAATGACAGTGTCAATAGCTGGTCCGAAGAGATGATGTTGCTCAAAGGTTAACAGAGTCAGATACTCATTGGGCATATTATTCCAACTATGAAGCCAGAGTGCCCTACACATTTCTATGTACATCAGTCACTAGCAAGACATAAGTTTAGATGCCTGCAACAAACCATCACAACTAAAGCACAGGTCTCCAGACATTTGCTGCAACCAGAAACGGAACCTACGGCAGAGGTGAAGGATTCCCTTATGAGGGAATCTGTCCCTTCTGACATGGTTTAAAAGATTAAAGTTAAAAGCAGCAAGGGGCAGAGATTAAGACCAATCAATTCATTGGATTTAGGGAGGGACTTTAGCTGTCTGTCTGTGGAGTTCTTACAATTGGTCACAACCTCAACCAACCTAGTGGTCTCCCTGCTAAGGTGGGACACTGTTGTAGCTTTGGTTGGAAAACAATTTCTGATGCACTCATAAGTGGGGGTCTGGACCTTTAAGGGTAATTCCAGTTCGCAAAGAGGTACGAGTGAAATTTGTAGTGGAAAGGTCTTTCAGATGCAGGGAAATACGCATGGCATCATGGCAAGGTTTGTAACAACCCCCTGCAAATCAACATTCGGAGAGTGAATTGCAACACTGGTTCCAGAGCTAATAATGCTTCATTATGTCATAAAGTAAATCCATTATCAGAATTGCAATTTGCAATTTTGTCCTTTTGCTGATTCAGGTAGAATGCTTCCAGCTGCCTTATGATTAACTCGACAATGGATATGATATAATATCTTCCACCTGGAGTATATCTTTACTTAACCATCTGGTGAACTTTACATTGAATATTGGACTTTCCTAAGGCAATAATAATTATATATAAGTTGGATCTCTACAAATAGGTTCAAGCAGGAACAGCGGAATGTTCAGAGCATATATGACTTTGTTGGTTCGCTGTATGGATTTTCACAGATACATGGAAGTGTATTATCTGGGTTTTACTTATGCACTGATATGACCATATCTATAGACAGCACCTCTTACATAGATTGGCTGGTGTCAATTATTATAGACTTTTTTATGTGTGGCCCTGGGCCTAGATCAGTGTGGCTACTCAATGGATGGGATGAGGCTACTCTGGGTGGGCTTTTGTTTTTGGTCTTTACTTTTGAATATCTAGAATTTTTTTAAGTGCATAGTAGAGTGTTAGGTCTGTTGTAGTCCTTAAACAGTGTTGTTTATTAAACAGAGTTTACTAAGTACTCCAGAAGAGGGTTTGTAGGCCACAATTTGTTTTGACTCCGTGGTGCTGGGAGGAGTCTTTTGCTATCCTTTATGACAGACCCAAATTGATTTGTATGTAGCTCATAGTTAGTGGGTAGGCAGCTAAAAGATGCACAGGAGGTGCTGGGAGTAACTCAGGGATGAAAAACTGAAGAGTGCCGGACCAAATGGATGTTAGAGTCTATAAAAAGTTTAAATAATTGTGTTGATTAAAGAGCCAACACATTTTGGGGGCAGACACAACCCATTTCTTCAGGGCTTGGAAACAATGAAAATGAAGGAATGGACTTTGAACAAAAAACTCAGAATTTAGATATTACTGCAGCTATGGGTAGTTCTCCCAAAGTATGCAGATTGCAGGCAGTGACTAGTCCAATCACTGCCTGCAATCTGCTAATTGTGAAAGAACTACCTATAGCTACAAAAAAGATAATCTTGAAGAAAGGGCATCTAATCTCCTAGGACACCAGCAGAAAACTGAGACATGCTGGGTAGAGTAGAGTTATACAGGTGCAAGCTTACAATTTACAATTTTTTTTTGCCAGTTCCTAAACCTTCTTTAGGCGCCAACATAACCCAAATATGTCTGAATCCCTGTGTCCCTCAATGGACAAGAAAGCAAGCAAAAACACACATCAGTTAAGTAGCATCAACTTTCAGGGAAACAAATACATACATCTCTTGAAGCTGAATGCAAGTCTTTGCTTTTTTCAGGTCCCAGAAGTTTCTTGATTCCATTGATGACTTTGTTTTTTCTTTTTTGTCGGAAACTTTTTTCTTGATCACACAAAGCCATGCTGAATCGCAAATCAGTGGACGAGCTTGTGGAAAAACAAATATAGTGTTGACATAACCAACTAATAAAAATATAAGGATTTGGTGATAGGCAATTTTTATTGTTGCTATAATTACAGTGTTCTGATAAGTTAGGTCTAAATCAGTAAAATACACATCTTCATAAGAACTAAACTTTAAAGAACTTTAAACATGATTGTAGCAAAAAAAGCATGGATGTGCTTAAATATACATCCCTACAAACTTCAATTTAGCTCCTAATGTAAAAAAGTGTTTAATTCCTTCCAAAATTCTGGCAAAAAAGAAAGCACTACAAGTTGCCTGGATGATCTTTAGGATGGATGCGTCCAGGGACAGTGATCTATTCCAAAATGCATGTAATCGTATCATTGTGTCAAGGTAGTGGAAGTGTATTTCTGGAGCGGATTTTGGGTGTGGGGGTGTATAAGTAATCTGATTGTGGGATCATAATCAAATTAATTTCACCCCCTACATCTCATCTTTTTTTTTTGAGCATGTCATTTTTATTGGGTTTTTTCAAAGCAAGTACATATGAGAAGATATCATAGTAACCCTGTACACAAACAGTATAGTAAAGGTCAGGTGGTTTACACGGTTACAGATTAATGCAGGCAATAAAGAAAATAAACAACTGTGACATCATCACAAGGTCATTATAGCCGCCATTTAACAAACCATTAACTGAATGGTAGTTCACAAAAAGAGAGAAGAGGACAAACATAGACAAACACATATCGCTTCATCGTAGGGTTCGAAAGGGCCCATTGTAGGAGTGCACCAGAAAACAGTGGATCAATACATCTCATCTTCATCCTGTACATTATCCCTTCACCTCCACCCTCTGTGTATGACCTGAACATTAAAATGGAAGTAAATCAATGTAAGCTGGATAAGTGTTTGCATCTTACAAGTGTGTCCTTGTCCAGGAATGTCAGATCAATCTTAAATCTGGCCTGCTTCTCCTGCTCTTTCCTCTCACTCATTTGCATGCACTATGAGCTATATAGCCACTACTAAGGAGTATGAGGCACTAAAGAATAAGAAGTAGGAAGGGATCATTATAAAAAAAGAAAAGGAGCATTCAGGGATAACATTGATTTTAGCCTCTGTCCTTCAGCAGAAGCCCAAGGAATGGAAGGTTGGTACATTAACTTCGAGATCATTCAAGGATCCTGCAGTACTCTTGGTGCCAATCTCATGATGACTTTTACTTCAGGCGGTCAAGAGTGGGTCTCGTTCCCACGCCGTGATAAAGTATGGTCTAAAGTATGGTGTAACTCTAATTTTATTTTTCTGTATTTCATAAGAATGCTGGACAGCGCCACTTCTGGTGACGTGGTGTCAGCTGTTGCAGGCATGCTAGGCTCAAAGCACATGCACCCTTGTTCTGTAATTTTTCTTGACCCATAAAATTTATCAACCGTGTGAACCAGGTGAAGAGTCAGCCTTTTCCCAGACACCCTTTCTTCATGCGCATGCGTACCTGGAAGTAACGCGGTCGAGGAAAATTACAGGCCATTCGCTGGGTGGTGTCGGAGATCCCGCTGCTGAAAACCAGGGCCAGCCCACGGGACAAGGAGAAATTTTATGGGTTGAGAAAATGTATAGAACAAGGGCACACGCACGTTAAGCTCGCCTCCAACAGCTGAGACTGCATCACCTGATGTGAAATGGTCCAGTATTTTTAGGAGGTCTAGAAAAAAATTATAGTACACACTCCTCTGCTGCTTCCTGTCTGACTGACCAAGAGCACCAGGCCCATGTTGCTCTTAATCTGGCCAATGGTGACAGTGCTCCCTTCATACCCAGAGGACCCTAAGAGGTCAGGTGTGCTACATCCTTTTGACACAGTAAATGTCATTGTTTTCTATTTGGACAGAATGGAAATCTTTTAGAAAGATAACATTCTGATTGTATTGCCAAAGAGGGTCAAAGAGATAAGGGCAGCATCATCCAGACTAATATCCCCCTGGTTAGGAAAGGCCATTCAAGAGGTGTACTCTTTTACTGGACTTCCTCATTCAGAAGGATTGAAAACTCACTGCAGTAGAAGTGTGGCTGATTGTGGGCATTAAGTGCAAAAGTATCCTTGGAAGAGACGACTGGGAGCTGGCATCCTCCAAATATGTTTATTAGACATTACTTGGTGGAGCTATCTGCTTCACTTTCTTTTTGTACAGCATTTTTATCAGATTCTCACTCATATAATTAAATTCTGGCAGTATTCCATTTGCTTTGTTATGTATTGTATTCTATTCTCCTGCTTTTATTTCTAAATCCCGAGAGCATGCTGAAATGAGGAGGCTGACAAAATGTAAAATGGTTATCTATACTTACTGTAAATTGGCAGGGAGGTCTTAAGGTGGGGTCAGATGGTGGAGCTGACCCCTAAATATGCTGACATGAGAATAGGCCAGGAAAGGCAAATTACAGTATAGATAACAATTTTCCATTATCAGAAGCCAAAGTTTACATGCATTGTAATGTCATACAACTGTTCAAAATTAGTAAATACAATTATATACATACCATTCCTGTAATGAGAATCCTAGAAAGACCTTTGTGACCTAATAAAATAAATAAAGACAATGTAGCATGTTTGTAGTTCTGATAACAGAAATGGTTACAATTACTTTTGAAGCATTACTTTCTTTATGAAGGTAGCATTAAAAGGTAATTTCACGGGGATAGAACACAGTAGAATTATTTTTTTTTTTTGCAAACAGCTGTCTAGGGTATGCAATTTGAAGCTGAACTCCAGGCAAAACTCTTTATGCAACCATCACATGATTTAAAAAAAAAATCACAATGGCTATCATTTTATTCTACAGAGTCTCAACTTTTATAGAAAATATAATGGTTGAGGGGTTTTCAGAAATGTTCAGGTCTGTGTTTTAACATAGGGGCAAAACATGAAAAAAACTTGTTACATGAATAAAACAGCACATCTTTATTCTACAATTTGCCTCTTTTCAATTACACAAAATTCAGTTTCTGATGCAAAGCTTTGGGAAGTTATTCACAAATGAATAAAGGCATTTTTCAGTATTGTGTATTTTTATTACATGCATGGCAACAGAAGAAGTAAAAAAAAGTTTACATATTAATGGAAAAGAAATACAGCAAAAAACCAATAGAAAAGGGAAGGGGAAGTAATGGGGGCAGATTAGTGTTAACTAATGGTTAACAAGGGTTAAATAGTTTTTTAAAAACTTGGTTGAGGTTGCTTATGTGGATATAGGCACCCCTTTGGTTTGCACATAAAAGAACTAGTCTGAATACATTGTTACAATATTATTTTTTCAAAATATTAATCATCGAAGCTTGCAAAAACTATTTGCTGGCTTTAGGAGGAGGAGTTGCTTTTTGCACTCTTGCAGCCCAGACTGGGACCCCGCTGGCAAACTGAAAACAATTAAAGAACAACACATACAAACTGTACACTTCCCCCTCGTGTACTTCCCTCTCATGTTGATGGGAACACAGTTAATAAACTGATATTAGCAAGCTAAACAGGAGACCGCATGCTCACAGGCTCCTTGCCATGGGGATTCTAATTCCCAAATTTCTGTCATATGCTCAGTTTAAATTACCCAGGTTACTGACCTGTTGTCTTTAAAGTGACAAACCTTGTGCTATTTTTCCACTTACTTTGTTAAATGTAAATGGCACCTCTTTTTTTTCTCCAGGCTTCAGTGTAGAAATTTGAAATTTTGTTGTGCCCAAAGTTTCATCCATCACATAATTAGCATCCATTAGGGTTATCTACAAGAAAAGGGGCAATTCTTTACATATGAAAACTAATATCAAAACTGTAGTATAACCCTCAGCAACCAATCCAACCACAAATGTACTTTTACATTAGCCATGTGTTCTGAAAAGTTTGCACAAAAACAAACTCTACAATTAAATGACTAAGGGGTCTATTCACTAAGCTGACGAGGGCAGCCGAGTGAACAACCGACCCCAAAGCAATGTCAGAATTAAAAAAAAAAAAAATTCCCATTGAAATGCATTGCTACATTACTATTGGCTATTTAAATTTGTAATAGCCAATAGTAAACTTGCATTGTACCCGCCCTCTGCGGATGGACCTGATGGAGAACTGCAGCAGAGGGTGGGTACAATGCTAGTTTACTATTGGCTATTGCAAATTTAAATAGCCAATAGTAATGTAGCAATGCATTTCAATGGGAATTTTTTTTTTCTATTCTGACATCGCTACGTGTCAGAATAAAGAAAAAAAAAGACAGACACAGCATTGTTTCTCTCTTTGGTGGCCGGGAGCAGGAGACTCCCGGGGCGACAGGGAGAGTTAGCTGTTTGGAGATCAGTGCCCCTGGTTAGCAGGTAACCAGGGACGCTGATCTCTCTGCAAGTGGCCGGAGCCAGCCGTAAGATCACGGCTGGCTCTGCCCAGCTGTCAGAAGCAGGCTGTCGGCCGGCGCTCGGCCAGCTTCGGCTTTCAGCACGGCTCAGCCGAGCCGATGCATATGCGTTTGGCTCGACTGAGACGCTCAGCCAGGTTCGGGAGCTGTACGGGCTATAGTGAATAGCCCGTACAGCACCCCTTCGGTTCTACTGAACCGAAGGGGTCCTGGGGTCGAAGCTAGCCGAAGGATCGGCCGAAGCTACGGCTAGATCCTTCGGCAGCTTCGTGAATAGACCCCTAAGTATTGAAGCTTTTAGATGAACATGAACTTGTTTACAAACAAACCTACTGGCTTCAGCTGTTTGTGCCTCTCACAGGGAGAGGCACAATGACAGCTGAAGCCGCAGCTATCAAAGTGCAAAACAATCTGTTAAAAAAAATAAAAAAATATTTTAAAATTGTTTGAAAAATGATTATGTCCATTTGTCAGCTTATAATAAAGAACGCAAGCAAGCTATTTATTTAATTAAACAGTGACAGAAATAAGGACCTTAATTGTCTTAAAAACAATGTAGAAATTATTATGGGATGTAGGATGGCTAGCAGGAGAGAGGAGTCCACCATCAATCATCCCTGTAATGGATGCAGATTACCCAGAGGCAGATGGGAGGGGAAGAGGAAGCTGGCGTCACTCAAACAGCTGGAGCCATTCCTCAAGTGACAAAAAAAAAGTTATTTAGGGAGGCTTTAACAGGAGAAAAGAGGAAATCAGTGACTTCCAAACATGCAACATACACAATAAGAGCGGTGCTGCCACAAACAATGGGAATGTACATAGGTATGGCAGGATCAAGCAGGTATTTACAAAAAATGGACACATTCATACTAAAAGAGCTTCTTTTCCCATGTAAAATATATTATTTTGTAGAAATATACACAGAGATGTTATGGGTTTAATGACACTTTAATAAAATAACAACATCAACTAATACTGGCCATTCATAGGAATATTTCTGAAAAAGAACAAAGACTGAGAGATATGCCCTGGCAATTAGAGAGTTAATCCAGCCACCACTTCTAGGGACTGGTAAACTGCATTATATCGTTGGTTATGTGTTTAAATGAAGCACTGAGATCTTGAGGAATGTTGAATTAAGTTTTACTTGCTTAGAAGAACATTATGTGTATGTATACAGCATTGTGAAGAAAACAGGAAAAAACCCAGCTTTCTGTGTATCATAGATAAGCATGTAGATAGAGGTTAACATTGCACTACACTGCTATCAACAGCTCAAAAGACATTTAACATCAGAATATCAGTATTGTGCTGTTGTATTTCCAACATATATTACATTTTTGTTAGATCTGTTTATCTATATGCTTAGATATATTTTAGGTTGGCCAGTAAAGGCACAGTACTGTAACCATTTGCATGTGATAACAACAAATAGAACTATGGCCAAACCTTTTTTTTACTGATGTCCTTCTGTGACCCAATCCTCAGCATATAGCGGGCTATTGCCCGCTATATGCTGACAGCACAGAGCCACACTGCAGCCGGGAAGAATCCCAACACTATTGTCGGGATCTAAAGGCAGAGCCAGCTGCGCCTGCCCCCTCCCATGTCTATCCTTCCAGTCAGCGCTGGTGAAACAGAAGGGGGAGGGGGGAATCCCTGCAGGGAGTGGTGACTGACAGTCACTGCTCTCTGCAGGGAGAAGATTGTGAGCTGAGCACTCAGTGGTTTGTGATCAATCAATTCTCAATCTCTAGAGCCGACGTTTGACGGCTGCAGTGTTACACGTTGGCTCTAACTATGGGGTTGAGTGCACATCACTCTCCCCATAGTTGTCCTTTAAGGAATCAAAGTGATCATGTGTACTAAAGTATTAATAACTGATCAGTACTATTATCAGACACGTGTTTGTGTCTATGTTAGTGCTGCTACGGACAGCCTAATTTTTAAAAGCTATGCACCAGATCTAATGCGATAACCAGGTAGTGTAGGGTTTACCTGCAAACAAGAGTGAACTTGTGCAAGAATCAAACATAACCATTATAATTTATAGAAATTTTCTAAAATTCAGCATTTCTGTCATATGCCTGGGCTCCAGCTGTAATCATATAAATACTTTTCAAGTATATAAAAAAACCTTCTAATGTACCTCTAAGATATTATCCTGATTTGGGTCCAAAACAAATTCAAATGATTCATTCCAAACTGGATTAATATCATTGTTGAAATGCTTTGTTCTATTTCGGCCATCTGGTACAGATGAAATGAACAGTTCCACATAAGGGTCAGGAGTATCAACTGTAAAAAAAAATATCAAAATCTTGTGGTTACAACAGAAGCAAATCAATAACAACTCACAACAGTAGATCTAGAACCTTTTGCAGGAATGCTCCACAGATTAGCTGGTCGATCTAATAAAGGGTTTAAAGGTGCTTGTGTGTGTATATATCCATATATATATATATATACACACACACACACACACACACACTGATATGCTCTATGTTATGCGGAAACTAGTGGGTAATTCACCTGCTGGCTCAAGACTCCTCAAGGGAATTGCAATGGGGTGATGTACCCTGGACAATGAGTACAGGCAGTCCCCGGGTTACGAACAAGATAGGGACTGCAGGTTTGTTCTTAAGTTGAATTTGTATGCAGCCAACAATATTTTGTTGTTGTTTTGCATAGCATAGGGAAGGGTTAACCCCCTGTAAAGTTTGTTTTGCTGTGTTGCCCCTGTTCAGAAGATTTCACCTCACTTTCTGTCCCTGTGACAAATGGATTTTGAAAATGTTGGGTTGTCATGGAAACAAGGATTGGTGAGAAAGCTTCAGTGGAGACACCTTTTTCCCATGATAACTTCCTAGGGGTAGATTTCCGCTCATTTTCTGTTGTCTCAAGGACAGGAAGTGAGATTAAATCTTTCTAATGAGGATACAAACAGCAGCTAAAACTCTTATGAGTGTTATGTTTAGTTTGTATGCAACTCTATGATTCATCTTTATGGCACTTGTTTCCTGTGATGCGTTTCTTGTTCTGTTCTGTGGGTTCTCTTCTAAGAACATGACTTCAGACATCCCAACCTGCAAAACCTTATTTCAGGGAGGTTCCCGTAGGGTTGCCACCCGTCCGGTTTTCACCCGGGCAGTACGGGTTTGCAATCATGTGCCCGGGTCTGTGCCCACCTTCCGCCCGGGCACATATTCACTTCTCTCCGACTTTGTAGAATGTGAGACATATTGCCGGTTACAGATTTCATCGCCAAAAAAAACTGGGTGGGATTACGTTAAAATGTGTGACCATGTGACCGGGCACACATTCCAACCAATCACAAACACTGGGTTTTGGAATCCTGTGCTCGGCTGTGACCCAGAATCACACCCGGGCACATTATTAACACCGGACTTGTGGCTCCCTGCTGGTGCCGCCACTGTCACTTGTCGAGTCCCTCCCTCTGTTTTTCTCCTCAGCGGCAGGGACTAGGTGGGGGGAAGTGTCATCAGGGAGGTCCTCCGAAATCATCCTCCGTCTCCACTATGCGCTGTCATCTGGGACCAAATAGTCGGCAACGCCCCAGTCTCACGCCCCAGTCTCCACTACTACCAGGTAACCGTATATACATATACATATATATATATATACATATAT